GGGGGGGGGGGGGGGGGGGGGGGGTGTTTTATGCCCTCTATTGCACTCGGTGTAGGTATTCATTATATGTAAAATGATCTTCCAGAAAAAAATAAGTTCGACTCATCGTCTCATGAATCTGACACTTGCAGATTGATGTCAACTGTAAATACTTGAGCGCAAATTTTCAGGAGAAAATGTTTGAACCCTAATTTTTAGTTTTTTCTCAGTGTTTAACCATGTTTTGCCCTGTTTTATGTGCGTTTTCCGGACATCACAGGGACTAATCAGTAAATGCAATCATGTAACTTATCAACTCGAATCCTTTATAACACTGTGAAAATCAATTTTTTCACTTTTAATTTTATAGGATTGTCTGGAGAGGTAGGAGTTATATTTATTTCTAATGGCACATGTTGCTTAGAAGTACCAACAAGTCTAAGGGGAATGAATATTATTTACTTATTTATAGAAAAGTTTCTCCTATAAATTTTGGTTACTCCAATGAAAGCTAGTTTCTAATAAGTAAAGAAATACAGAAAAGAAGTAAAGAGCAGTTCAATTACTCATCATGCAGTATTTTGAAGGCTATTTCTCTCAGTCAATGATTTCTAATCTTAATCAATGTTCTTAGGTCGATTCTTCATGACTGCATAGAGCATTTACAAGAAGAATCCACCAAACAGAAAAAAGAATATTATTCAAGATATGTAGCGATTTTCTATAACATCGAGTTTGTTTGGCATCTATGTGAAATTCTCTACGTCGATGTTGTTGCAGGTGAGTCTGTTATTGCTCACATTGATTTTTTATTATTGCTCTCTGTTCACTTAGCTTTTGCTTGAAAGCGCTTAAAATCCTTTAATATCCTTGAATTTGTATTCGAATTATCAAATTCTCAAAAGTCCTTGAATTTCAAGGAAAATATCCCCATACAGGTATGCTAACAGTTCTTAAATTTCATAAAATTCAGTGATTTCGTGTAGACTATTCATATAATCAGTCCTCTTTGTGTCGTCAAGACTTCCATATCATTGTAGAATATTGAATTCTCTTTCAAGTAGTTTCCGAGTGAAAATTCTATGAATTACAATGCTTTTCAAATTTTTCTGTGTATCTATTCTTTGCATAGGTATGTTTGCAAATTGCAAGGACTTTTCTATTTTGCAGTTATTTTAAATCCTGTTGAAATTTCCTTTGGTTTTTGAAAGTCCCTGTCAAACTTTCAGGAAAACCCTACAAATTTCTCATAAGTTTTGATTCTACTCATCGTTTATCCTGAATTCTGAAAAGCTGTTTTGAATTGTTCTCCGTCAGTTTTACCTCCTCAAATTACAAGTTTAGTTTTCTGCCTCAGGTGATATTGTGTTACCACAACTCACGGACTGGATCAAGTTTCATTTCTCAGAGCATGAGCGTATTGCAGATACCATCCTCACAGGATATGCCGGCTCGAGGGAATTGACATCCAGTGGTGCAGAAACGTTGCATCCGGAGTATTGGAATACCATTATTGGCTTAATCCTCCAAGGCAATATGGAACATTCGCGTGCTTTACTCCGATTGCATTCCTTGGCAGACACTGAACCATTTTTGCAAGCACATAAATTCTTGCGCTCCAGGCCTGTCTACAGTGTAAGTTTTCACACTTCAATCACCCAAGCACATAGGCTTTTTTTTCTACATGGCTATCAGTTCTCTCATTAATTTTCTCTCAACTATCTTAGACGAAAAGGTTTTTTTTTCTTTCTTTCTTTCTGTACTAATGAACAGACTCTGTTTTTCAAAGAAACAAGCCATTTAATCCCTGACCGGGGTAGACTTTCTCATTTTTAAAACTTCTTTTTACAGCATTTCAATTTTCAAAATCAGTTTTTACTGTGTCTCCATTTTTCCGCTCCAACTAAACACTTTCTGCCAAGTGGAGAAGTTTTTGCAATTTCTCACAGGTTTTCTGTTTCCTCAGTTAGAGAGAAAAATGGACCACTAGACAGGTCCCTTGATCAAAGTATTTCAACATGTTCACCGCCAGGCAGGCTGTTGATAGTGTTCACCATAGCATTACCTGTTCGCTAGAGATTCAAATTTTGGTATATTGCCAGGAACATTCTGATTCCAATGTATCCTCTACTAATGGTGTCACTGGGTAATGATGGTAACCCCTGTCATAGAATAAAGAGACTACGCCAACAGAAGCGAAAGCTCCGTAAGAACCTATGTTAACATTTTTTTCAGTTGCGCGGCCATCTTCCTACTTACTGAGATGATCACATTGTTGTCGATTGGCAACCTTATTGCGAGGTGAGAACAGCTGTTATCATTTGACTTGCCCGAACGCCACCGAATAACAAATCGCAAATGTTAACACTACTTACTGAGACAGCTTTGTTGTCATAAAAATGGCCGTGGTTTTTGCTTCTGTTAGCGTAGTCTCTTTATTGTATGCTCCTGTGACTGTGACTAGCACATGAATTAAGATATTACGAAGTTGACTAAATACAAAAAGATTTATCCTATTCATATTTTATGGAAATGCAAAAAAAGTAATTAAAATCGGAGGGTGACAAATATAAATACCTGAAGAATCCTAAATTCAGTCAATGGATCAGCCATACCTGAAAATTGAGTCCTGATCAAAGCCAGACCATCTGTTCTCTGAGATTTCATTTTTTTCTTATCCTAGTGGGTTAGTATAATTGGGAGGTGAAATATATGAATAACAGGTTTTTTCTCTTCTTTTTTAAGTAAAAAATATATCATGCCTCAAGAAATTTTTACTTTCAACCTTGCCTTTATGGAGTATTTTTGAACTGGACCATTTTTGGTTGCAGGAAAAATTCAAAAAGTGCCCAGCCTTCTTATTTAAAAAACTTCTTTCCTCCCAAAGTGTTCATTAGTAACGATCTTTCTTTCTCCTTATTCAAGGATTACCAAGATTTTGTAATGAATGCAGAATTTTTTCCAACAAGTGACTACAAGACAGCGGTTGGTTGGTCAGAATATATCGGCATGTATGGGCCTTGATACAGGAAATAGGATATGAAGACATAGATGGTAGAGAAAGGCTCAAATAATAGTTTGTTTTCTTTTGTAGAAATGCATTATTTTTCTCCTGCTTTATGGTGCCATCATGTTCGCCTTAATTTCACTTGATCTAATGTTTAACTTCTTTCTTTCTCTTGTGGAATCGAGAAAGTATTTTTATAGTGAGCTGAAATGAGATGTGTAATTTTTAGGTGTATGGAGGACTGTCTCTCGGAGAGTTTACCATTCGTTGGAAAACATGGCAATCAACTGTTCAAAGCGAAATTCATTCTGGGACATTCTCATCGCAAAAACATTTACTTACCATCATGAAGGCAAGTTCTAAACATCGGCTAATTTACCAACCTCATGCTGCCCTCTATAGTCTATGATACGAAAAGTGGAATCGAGGATTGTCAGGTGAATGGCTTGATCTATTGTTTAAGGGTTGAAACGCAGGTTTTTTGGCACATTCAAAGGACTGGGTCACCGAATCCAATCAACCCTCAAACAACAGATTGAGTTGCTCACCTGACTCTGCCCCTCAACTGACACTTTTCATGTTGTAGACTACGGTATGAAAACCTACTAGTATTCTCAGCTTGCATTAGAATACAGTGTAGTTTTAGAATTCTGAACTTATTTTTTAATTCACATAACAATCTTTATTGTCTCAGCCACCATCTCACTCTGTTTGGTACAATGAAAAAGTAATGAAATCCTCGTCAAAAACAGCCCCTAAAAATGATACCACATGTCTGATTTTTTTGTACATGTTTGACCCTCAATCAGTCACAGAATTTTGATTTCATCAACCTATTCCAATCTCTATTCTGTAAGGAGCTCTATGATGTATTTGATTCAGCCCATAATCCTTCAAACTGACAGAGTGGGGTTTATTCTGTAAGTTGATACATTAGAACTTTTAAACAGGAATAATTGTTTTTACAGGTAGCGCACTAGTTTCAAAGGTACTAAGAGTAGGCAATATGGATGATGCCGAATCAGGGTGTTTAGCATCAGGAAAAACCTGAAAATATCAGGAATTTTGGCGGTTCAGGAAAATCGGAAAAATCAGACGTTTTATCAGGAATTTTTCTTACGCAAATCTCCTCTGCAGAGAAGTCTTACTGCTTTTTGCCTACTGTGCCAGGAGTCGTCGCTACGAGTCGTTTTTACAAGAAAAATCAGGAATATCATATGAAATATCAGGAAAATATGAGGATTTTTCAAAATTAAAAAATACTAGACACCCTGTGAATGTTTGCTAGAAGTAATTAGTTTAAAAAACCATTTACCTATTTCAGATTGTGATCGGAGATGAGAGTATCACAGAGGTCATTCGCAAGTATTGCAGCACCTGGTATCAGTACATGGTTGCTCTTTTGTTGTACACCGATCCAACAGTGAAGTCTTATGATCTCAGCTATCATGCTCAGCAATGTATCAATGCTTACGGGGGCCAAGAACGTCTGAAGCTACTGGATGTGCTGATCCTTGCTCTTCTTGAATCTGATTTACAGCAGGTAATCGTTAAAAAAAATTTGCCTCTCATCAAGATTTATAATCATTTGGAAATCGGCCATCAGGATTTATGGTTCTTGCTTCCAAGATAGCGTGGACCCAGACCTATTTTACGACCTCGTTATCTAAAGTCAGCTTGATGCTCTTTCAGAATACTTGGAAGACGTATGTTAAAAAAGGATCTTAAAATCCGGAAGAGACCTACTCAATACCGCTATAATTTTGTGAATTTTCCACTAAATGAGCTGAACTTGGTCTCATTTTTTAGTCAATAATTTGATTTTTATGACTTCATTTAGTTGTGTGGACTTGAATGCTTGGGTAGCAAATCACTGTAGTACTTTTTGGACAATCCATGAGCGTAGGACAGCTTTATTTTATTTTTTATTTATTTGTTTAATTATCACCAGATCTCAAAACTAAAATTGTATCATTTGTAATCTTGTAAATTTACAAGACTGCGTTCTGAATTTTTCCCTGTTTTTCCAGGTCATCCAAAAACTACAATTCACCTCTGACAGTGGCTGGGCAGTATCCCATTTGAGCAACTTGCTATATTTATGTGGTCGCATCTCCTTTGATAAGAACTATTCTAAAGACAGGTGAGGATCTAGTTCATGTACCATTTTTCAAAATCTGATGAGTTATTTTGGCGATCAAAAGATTTGTCAATAGTTATTGACTCAATACAATGTTCCGTCGACATTTCATTCTTTCTGTTCAGAGGGTAGAAAACTTTTACTCCGAGAGAAGTACTCGAATTTTCTCTTTTAAAAGTCAGAAAATGCAATAAGCACCTGATACATTAATTAAAAAGCTTGGGGAAATGCCTGATCTCTTATTTAGCAAATCATGGAAAATGTGAGGCAGGAGCAATTCGGCAATGTTCAGAAGTAACTACCATCGTTTTTTTTCTCTCATTCCTTCATAAGAGTGGGAAAATCAGAAAATTTGGTGTGAAGCATATGATCTGGATGGCTAAAGTTGGTGGATCCTTCGGATTAAGTTGCAATCTTGGCTCCCAGTATATTAAAATGAAACTGAAAGACTGCCAATTCTTACACTGCATATTGCGTTACATACTTGTTATGGTCGAACCCATTTTTCAATGAAAAACTTACTTCTGGCTGAAATACTTTTGACGGGGGCACACCCAGGTTTGATCAAGTGGCTAACTGATTAAACCTAGGTTTGATATACAAGTTGAGGATCACACCCATTTGTCAAACCTGTTAAAGGAAAGGGCCTGGTCAAAACCTAGGTTCGATAAATAAATGGGGTTAGAGGATTTTTTTTGTCTTCTATCATTCCTCCTAGATTCTCAGTTTCAAATTAACTTTTGGTCTCTCTTTTCAAAATTCTCAGTTTTTGTCCGTAGGCCCTTCCTTATCTTCATTAGTTTTTATCTTTCACGTCAAAGTATGACAAGCACTCTTTTAGCTTCAACCAATCACATGCTTTCAGATGATTATGTGATAATGTATGTAATCACCTCCATATAAAGCCTTGTATCAGATTTTATTTTAAGCTTCAACCATGATTCATGTCAGGCGCTTGCGCGTCTCCCCTTTTTTACAGCATCATGCGCTAAATTGAATATTTTAGTGCAAACTTTTATGAATCGTTACAATCTTCAAAAAATCTGAATGTAATTTTGCTCAAGTCTCTTTCAATCGTTTCTTCTTGTTCTCTCTCATTTAAAATTGATCGTTTTTAATCTTTTTTGACACCCTCCCTCATGTCTATTCAGTGATTCCATCCAGAGGCTGGACGAAAGACTTTTACTCGATTACGGAACACTCCTATTGTCACATCATTCGTTGTGGCAAATTGGTGTCACTTACCTCGATCACTGTCCTTCTGAAGGCAGGGCTCGGCTTGAATTATGTCTCAGTGCCTTGCCGATTGACAATGAGGCACGGGCTAAACGGATTATTCAGATCGCTCAAGAGAGGGAGATGGCAGATGTTGGTAAGTTTATCAATTGAGTATTTGTGAAGCTTAGGGGTATAGAAATGTTGTAAAGGTGGCCGAGGGTATTTTTCTTATCAGCATTGAGATTGTTTTAATCTATGACTTTCCCAGATGCTTTTATAAAGTCTTTTAACAAAATCACTATTGCAGGATATATATTTTTGTTCAAAGAGTATTTTATCATTTTTCATGGTCAAACTGAATAAAAACTTTAGCGGGAATGTCCGTTCATTGATGTCGCCAATCAAACAGTGAAGCTTTTACTTACCTCCCCTACTTTTTGCTTTATTTTTGGGCCTAGATCTTCATATTAAAAATTGTGAATTTTACTGCAGAAGAATAATTAAAGGAGCATCTAAAATATAAGAAATTTAGAAGCAAGTCTGTAATGAAACATTTTAAAGATCAGCCTTCCTTGATTCAGTGTGTCAACAGAAAGAATAACAAATGGAGTACATCTTGGATTAGGTTTTGGTTGTCCCTAGAAAACTTCAGACTTCATATTTTCCTCAGTAATAACAGAAGCAGCAGTTGAATGTCTATATTTGCCTCTTTTTGTTTTTTTCTTCCAGTGGCTAGCATTTGTAAAGTTCTTGGTATGAGATCGTTGAAACAGAATCGCCTTGGTAATGCATTGGTGTGGGCTTTTCGGTCTCAAGATTCTGCATTTGCTACTCATTTAGCTGATCTATTTCTGCAGAGGTACAACAAAGATGGGGTCTTTCAATCCAGTGACATTTTGGATCATCTAGGGTCTGCAATGTTGATTTGTGATCGTCTAACTTTCTTAGGTAAAATTTCATATTCTGTTCTTATCTTTTCTATCTTAACAGTACTCTTTCCTAATTTTTTTCCCTCTTTGTTTCTTTTTTACTCTTTCCAGTTATTCTGATTTGCAGGCACCATTAATGACTCTCTCTTTTGTTTATTAATTTTAATCAATTTTTAATTTTAATTGTTTCTTTTGCCAGGTAAATACTGCGAGTTTCATCAGCACTACCGGAACAACCAATTAAAAGAAGCTGCTATTCTGCTAACTGAATTATTAGTTTCAAAATTATCACCTAAATAGTAAGTTGGTTTTTTTTAATCTTTCCGCTCTAAAAGACTAGTTAACGCAATTCCTTGAGCGCTTTCTTGATTTTTCTTTTCTGTTAACAAACTATCCTGCTGCAATGAAGATACATTGGTTTTGCACTTTCACCGTCGATATTTTTCTAAAGCATGCCCTCTTTTAATTTCAAATTTCAATTACTATTTTTATGCACTGAGTGCCAATACTAAGAAATATCTGATATCCATAATATCTCTAGTGGGGAACAGTAAGAATATATTTGTTGTACCTCTTCAGTTTGTCTTGAACTGTAAGAGGAATTTGAGTAAGTATGCAGGTATGAAAAATTATGGCATTCAATGAAGATGCCATGGATACGAAGACTTATCAACAGTGAGATACTTAAAAATATAGTCAATGAGATTTCTCATCCAGTCAAAGTAGTGTAGCTTTTAAAATTTGTATTTTCAGAAAATCATTACTTTGGAGATTGTTAAGGTGATTTTGCAAACGAGTTTAAAAATTCAGAGTAAAACAAAATTTCTCAATAAAAAGGGAAAAATCGCATTCGAGGACAATTTTCCCCCCAAGAGATATGCTCTTCGGTGCAACACTAATAATCAATGTACTAAGAATTTCAGTTTTATAATGAATCTTAGCGCTTATGTCTGAACGATTCGTGTGTCCAATCACAATCTGTTCGTACTAATAATTTTGAGTTTTTAAAATTGATGATGATTTAACTGCATGAGGGATCTTATAAATTATATTCATTTTCATTCATAGAAAACTTAGAAAAAGACTACCTGGACCTGGGTACAGCCCACAGATGTACTTATTTTTCTGTGTAGGCATTCATTTTCTCTAACACTCATTTTAAAAGTTAGTAAAATTGAAAATTAGTCAATCAATTTTCTTAATTTTTCAAATATTTATGAACTTCTCATTTAAGATACTACTGAGCTAAGTGGTTTATTTTCTGGGCCAATAGACAAAGTATGAATTATAATGCCCCATCACATATATTGTCGCGTAAGACTCACGCAGGAAAAATTCCTGCAGTAGCTATTTTGAAAATTAACCAAGCTCGATGTAAGTGCTTACAATTCACATGCTTATCTATCATCCATTTGACTATTCTTCAGTCTAAATGCTAATCATCTCCTTTGAATTGATTCTGAAATCGTCATTATGCGAACTGTATTCTATGTGAAATTCTAAAGGGAGAATGTGCAACATGCTCTATTAATTCATATCTTGTGCACAGCCTTATTCTTATCTTTAGAAATAAAAATTGCCCAATATTTACTTTTAGAGAGATTGACTCATGATTTTATTTCCTTCCAGTTTCTGGTTAACATTACTAACGGATGCTTTACCTCTGCTGGATTCAGAACTGGAACCTATCCTCTCTTACTCCGACACTTGTCAGTTTTTGTACTGTCTGGAGGAACTGATATCTGAAAGACTGGACAGTCCAACATCCCAGTATTCTAGCCAATTTGAAGAAAAGGTTAAACTAATACGATTGGCTCTTGCTAAGAACATGGCTCGGACTCTCACACTTGAAGCTTGCGTCCCAAGCAATGTAACGGCAAACAGTACTATGTTGGGGATTCTAAAAATATAAGCAATTTTACGATGACGCTTAATCGGAAATTCGCGACGAGAAAAGATCTATCTCTCTCTTATCCTCTTACTTTGTAAATTTATTTTTTTACTAATAAGAAATGTAAGGATTCCTTTTTTATTTCTCTCAAAAATTGAAGTCATTCAAAAACTGAATTTTTATGCAATCTGTTGTCCCAAAAGTTTTTATGAAAATACACAATAATTGGAAACCTGCATTTTTTAATTTTCTTTACTCTTATTAGACTTTAAATCCATTCCCGGGACATTCAAACTATCCCATTGAAGGAAAAGCTCAAATATTATGTAAAGTATTATGTCTGGGTTTCTTGTGCAAACGCACCTGCTAACTGATTAATCTATTTGGAATGCTCTTGAAACTTGATTCTTTCTTCTTAGACTATATTATTCTTTAGTTGAGTCCATCAATTAATGCTGTTTTGATTCAGAAATCAGCAGCCTGGAAATGGAGGAAAGGGATGCGTTTTTCACTATTTTCCAGTCTAAGTTGACTATTTTGTTTAATTCACAGAGATAATGTATAAAATAATTATTAAATGATAATTCTTCTAAAATCCTACATTAATCTGTATTTCATAACTCCAAAAGTTTCTGATGGGTGGAACAGTATGGTATTGGTTCGATATTACAGTAGTCAGTTTTGCATTCAATACAAATTTCATGATGAGGGAAATTTTCTTCGCAGGAATTTATTTTGTGACAAAATCTCTCAGAGTAGTTTCCGTATTGTTCAAAACATGCTGAAATGCAAACCTCGCCCTCTAAGCATATCTCAGTCCTCACTGTTCCGGCTTGGATTTGCTGTTCACAATATTCAACAGTTCCGGAACAGTAAACACATTTCATGCTCCGCGGTCCTCCAGTCAAAAATTGTGATATACTGTGCAGGTTTGCCATTGAAAATTGTATACTTGTCTTAAAAGTTGTCATTGTGAAGAATGTCCCCAAACATATGAATATAATCATGAGAATACATTTCATCCTAAATTTTTGAGCCCAGCTCTTTGTCCTCTTGCTTAGTCACCTGTTGGTAAAAAAATCAAATATGTCAATATTTTTTTTTTTTTTTATACAAAGAGCACGATCTGTGTAAAGTATAAAGTATATTGCATTCGAAATTTTCGAAAAATTATTCAAAATTATAGTTGACCGTTAGCAAGAGCGAGTAATTCTTTCCTGGTGACGTCAGTCAGTTACTGCTCTTCAACCATATTTAGAAAATCTAGTTTTGCTTTAACTGAAACAGTCGTCGCAACTTGTTGCAAAAATATCGTTAAATTGTTGCAACTTTTTAACAAAATATTTGTCTTCAGTTTTTTTCAAAATAATTTTTCAGTCAATCTCTACAAGCTTTCATGATATCTTTGAAAGATCAAGACACCCAACTTGATTATCCTTTATGTAAGGAGAGGAAACACTTGTAGTTAAAAATTAAACGTTTTCACAAAAGCTGACGATTTCAAATTTAGTTGCATGGAGTTTATAATGAAGAGAGACACTTACTTTTTGGAAAGTTTGAAGAAATGAAATATGATGCCTTCAGTTTAACCAATCTCTCAATAAAGCGAACTTTTTAAGACTATCAAAGAAAAAATTCGCCCTTCAACATAAAATTATTTTTACTCATAGGTAATTTGTTTTCTGATAGTGAATAAATGACATTAAAATGAATACAGAACTGTATGACTGCTGCTAAGACTGGGAAAAGGATAGACTTACAATGTTTTTAATCACTTGATGCATCTGATAGCAAATCATGTGAGCTATGCTACCCTTTCCTGTGCAACAGTCATTCAATTTTTTATTAGTCAGTGTAACCCAGTAACAATTGATTTTGAAGTGCCATCAGGTAGTACCTAAGAGACATACTGAGTTCTTTGAATTTCTTCACTTTTTTGACTCGATAACTTATTTGTGCTGACTTACTTAGGAATAAAACGTAACTAGTTTTGATTGCAAGTCAGTGCAGCATCATCAAATATTATCAATAAATAAAATTCTGAGATGATGCAATCATAACGGATCAAGAGTAAGGCTAATAGTTGATTAAATAGAGGGCTGTGCCATTCATTAAAGAAAGGAATTCCATTCATGATTTTTATCATTTTTTTGATTGCTGATTAATCCTTGAACATATGCAATTAATTATTTGTTTTTCAAGGTTCCCTGAGTAAATGTCAATTTTTTACAACTAGATTGGAGTTTTCGCTCACGGTTTAAAATCAATTTAAGTTTTCATTTTGGAACGATCTCTCTCTCTACGTAGATACTGGATGATATCATTTTTTTTAGGACCCAAGAGGTCATACCTCTCAGCGAGAAATTTATTCAACCGGCAAATTATCAGTGTGCCATGCAAAGTCCTTCTTTACTTGAACTAGCTCTTTTACTCATTTAACTTTATTTTTAAATTCCTTGATTTTCAAACTTAATACATAATTTAAGTAAATAAAATTCAATAACTTCAATCAAAACTCCTGGCACTCAGTGGGTTAGTTGCGCTGGTCACAGAATCGTGTTTTGATGCTAGATTCTTGTAGATCAGCTAAAAATAACAAGATTTGTCCAAACAGCATCTCTCTAAACTCAAATTACCTAAGAATTGTGCTTTGAAAAATTCGTTTCGTGACGTCATCCACTGCAGCAGTGACATCCTTGGTTTCTCCCACCTTGCTTTCATCCAAGTTCCATGTTGAGTAATTAAAGGAAATGTGTGCCTCCCTGATTGATGAAAGAAACCAAGGCGCAAGGGTGTGAGTACCATGGTGGATGACGTCATAAACCGAATTTTTTTAATTGCGAGATCTCTGTTCATATTGAACTTAGAAAGTTGCTATTTGGACAGATCTTATTTTTCTAGCTAAGCTACTAGAATCAAGCATCAAAACACGATTCTGTGACCAGCGCAACTGGCCTATTGGATAGTCATTTTTATAGAAACACTTTGGAAGTCAGCTCAAGAATTATGTAACAAATTCAGCAATGTTTTGGACTAACTTGCTCTTTTTTATAAAAGTTGCGAACGCTTCATGAGGTCCCTCTGCCCTTTCTAAAAATTTCTCAAAATTTTTAGTTCCTTTTACTCTTGATTAGATATTCTAGATTCAAAATATTCAATTTTTGATCAGTAAATATTTTATTTTATGCATTTAACTTGAGTCTTCAATTTCAAACTCACATGAAGTTTTTTTTTAAAAACACTGAATCACTAATCTTTGATTATTCATATTAATTTTCGATTAGACCTTTAGATGAAATTATGTACTTGAATTAGGACAAGACCACAAGACTGTTTAAAATCCTTGCTCACTGTCAAGAAAAAAAAAGAAAATTGAAAAAAATAAAAAACATGAACGTTTCTTAAATTAAAAAACTTTATTTAAAAAGATATAAATATGTATTAACAAAGCTTTTTCGTTTTCACGCAGAGGAAAAAATCAAGGGTGAAAACTGAATACTTAGCACGGATGGGCAGAGACAAAAATGATGTTATAATCAATTGGTGAGAGTTAGGTTGTGATTCAAAGCAGGAATACAGAAAAATATAAAAATATTAACACAGATTTTAGTTTTCACACAGTTACATTAGTTTATCCTTTCAATGATGACATTCCTGCTCGCATGATTTCATCAACGAGAAGTAAATTGCTAGCAATTACGGTGCTGAAAAAGAAAAGAAAAGATCACTTTAGGCTTTAGCTAGAGACAGAAGGCAAAGGGCACTATAGGAAAGGTTCTATTGGTTAGGTTTAGTTGGAAAATTAGAAAAGTTACGGAATGCTAAGAGACAGATCGGATTTTTCCTTCCATGTTTCAAGTTTTCAAAACTGATGATATACAAATTTCAGAAAATTGTGTTTTACTATAATTTTTCTCATTCTGTTGAGGAAGTCAAAACTTTGGTATCAATTTAAAAAATCACGGTAGAAAGAGAAAACACCTTGTTTTAGATGCCATGCCCTTAGGGCAAAAGCTTAAATTGTTTTGACAAGTAAAGAAAGTAGTAAGTTTGCAACAAAGATGTTTGGCCCTGCAACAGCAACATCACTGTACTTTTACAAACACTTCAAGATACGAAAAAAACTGGTGAAACGTTCTTACTTTGGGTTGAAATATATCATGCCTTGAGAGATCGAGTGTCAAATTTGTTTAATCCGTACTTACTCAAAATTGCTTCCACAAGGTGGCAAGGAAGGGCTGTTTTGAGCACCCATAATCAACGTTTTAAACTTAATTCTTTTTTCACGGGTCAGAACAGTTCAAATTTTCGCTTGAAGGGCCGTAATTCGTTAATTACCTTGCTGATTGATGTTCAAAGTTTTTAAGAAATGCATATTTCGATTATCATCTCTTAAAGAGCTGGCACTTTGCATTAAGGGTGGCGTAAGGGGCTGAAACTTCATTCATAGGAGTTTTGCCATACTTGACACTGGTAATCTGCTAGTTATCAAGTAAAAACTAGAGTCCCTTTATACTGAGAGTCAAGACAATTCGGCTCATGGATGTCACAAACGGGAATAAAGATTACAGAAATTGAACGTTTTTCGTAATCTTTGATCGGCCCATTCTCAAATGCCTTTCTCCGTTCCTCCTCTCATTCCGTTTGTTCCTTGCCGAACCCGTAATTCCCTGGTCCATTCCAGATTATAATCTTTGCAATTGGTGAAAATGTAATCTTTATTCCCGTTTGTGACATTGTGGAGGCCTAAAATACGGGAACCAATCAGAAATGGATTCAAATTGTCTTGACTCTCAGTATAAAGGGACTCTAGTAAAAACTAAAAAAATTTCTTTTCTGAATGGTCTCAACGTATATCAGAAAAATTTATGAGATTTTGGAGATTGTAGAGATTAGAGTTTTGGGCTCTCATAGGCCTTGTCTCTACAGGATGTTTCATGGGATTTGTCCCTGGGAAAAATCCCACTTACGAAGTTGGGAGAAATATTGAGTTAATCAATATTTTTCCCAGTGCCAAACGTATGGTCCTTGTACCCAAGGCATGGACCAAGAGAATAAATATGGACCCCCAACTCCGGTTAGCACTGACATCAGCGCTCCCTGGCAGAGGGTGTAGTGAACTAAACCGACGATTGGGTCCTCCTGTTTATATTTCCATGCACCACCTATTTAGGCTTATCACTCAGTAGTGCTCATAGAAGTTTCTAGATCCTCGTATCCTCGTGGTCGCCCTGCAGTTTTGAAGAGTTTAGTGTGAAAAGTTTCCCATTTTCATTTCAATCTTCGTCAGTCTTCGGGTACATAAACTGGTAATAATGTGAAGTGTTTTTTCTAACCGTTTTACTCAGCAGCAACTGCTGTTGAGAAAGCCAAAGGAAGTGTGTATGTAGTGTGCAGCAGGAATCAGGATTGTACTTTAAGCCGAAGGCGCTTCTCTGTTAAGTGAAATCTTTTTAGTGAGAAACAGTGTTGTACTGATAAAAATCAACTGAGTGTCACAAAATCAAAGATACTTGACTTCAAGCATTACCTTTAATTTGATTATTAGTAAGTCTCTTTGATTCTGCGTCAGAAGTTGACTGAATCATCTTTGCTCGTGTTTTGATAAGATACTTCAAATTAAAGTCTTTCGCATTGACCTCTGCAGAAGGTATGTATCTATACTATTTCATTAGTTTGCGAAAGTAAAGTGTATTAAAGTATCTAAACAAATAAATAAATCATAGATAAACAAAGAACATTGCATGGAATAACATACTCTAGAGGTACGATCGTGGACCATTGTGGCGTTAGTTCACCACACCCTCTGCCAGGTTCGCTGCAAGCGCGCGGTAACGGTTTTGAACACAGGTTTCAATAGGGAGTTGGGAGTCCTTATTTATTCTCTTGGTCCATGCCCCAGGGCCCACTTAGAGAGGTAGAAGAAGTGAAAACAAATTATGCGATATTTTATTCATTACTCCATTGTTAATGTTTGTTTCGTTAAAATAATGTGTCTAATTGTTAATTGAGTGCGATTATTATTTTAATCCCGGTTAAATACTCGACTTTAAGTCATTTATCTTCCTGCGCAAACTAGTCGCGGGACTGTATGAGCTCCGTCCTGTGGAGACCGTAACTGGGAAAAATCCCAGAAGTTTCATTCCTGTGATTCGAACTTGGGACAAATCTCATGAAAACGTCCAGTGGAGACAAGGCCATAATGACAGATTTTTGCACTATGACCATAAAATATTCATACATACCATGATCCTAAAATCTGTTTCTTCACTGAGTAGTTATCATAAATACCCTGATCGGCAGGCTTCAAGATTTCACCCGAGCTAAGATCAAGACCAACAGGGACATCCAGAGAGGTATATTCTTCTAATAATTTGACAATTGTATCTTGCGAGTCAAAGCCGGAGTTCACAGCTGAAATAAATATGAAAATAAGGAGATGATTTTGGGAATTCAGATACTCTATATAAATTTGAGAGAAAAAAATTGAGATAAAAAAAAAAAAAAATATGAATGAAACCTACATTATTTATTTGAAGAACGTTTTAAGACCTGTAGAAATCCCACAGTACTTAGTCTGGTACTTCAAGTGAAAGTAATTAATGAACACTGTTGCGTAAAAGGATACACTGCAGCAAAATTTTCCTGTGACACCACAAAATGTTCCCATTTATAACAGGATTGGATTTTTGGCAACTTTGAAAGTACTTATTTCACCCAGAATTTGATTAAAGGACGATTGGAGAAATGAGGGTATCTCAATTTTTTACATACTTTCCAAAAATAAATTGTAAAATAGTTTGCGACAGCCACATTTATAAGGATTAAAGAACAAGGGAAGCAGATTTGATTACTTACAAAGTGTTTTTGGGATGACAAGCATGGCCTCTGCGAATGCTTGAACACCTAACCTTGTTTTTCCTTTCACCGTTTCTTTGAATTTATGTAGCTCTTTGGACACTGCAACTTCAAAAGCTCCAGCACCAGGCACAACAGCTCCTGAAATGAGAAACAATTCAAACATGTTCACAAGAATTAATAAGCTCGGAAGTACAAATGGAAAATCCAAGCCACTAAAAACATCACTGACATATTTGCTCCAACTGTAAAACGCTAAAAAGAAGACTTTTCAAAGATAAGATTAGATTAAGTATAAACAGGATCAACAGTTTATCCTATTATCATGACTTGGAGCTGATCTATGATATTTCCATAGGAGCACAATATACCATTGATCACCTTAAAATCATGGTAATAAGATGAAATTTAGGTACATTATCATGGAAAAAGACCTGAAACTAAATTTTCACACCAGAGTAAAAAATTTTCAACCGCTAAAAAATTCAGCAAAGGTACTAGGGGTTTCCAAGGTGGGATGAAAGGTAACTATTGTTCTTCTATTCACAATACTCAGGTTCCGAGCCTCTCTCTGCTGCATGATAGAGTATCAAGTAAAAGGGCAGGTAATCACGGGTAAGACTGATGTGTTGTCATTTACGAATTTTTATAATCCCGATTTTACTGGCTCAGGTTGGGTGAAATAGACTGTAGATACTAAAATTGAACAGAACAGAAGACAGCAGCTGGAGGTAGTTACAGTGCCTTTTAAAGTTCTTGTGTAAACCCGACCGTAACGTTTCAGTTACAGTGCCTTCTTCAGAGTATGTTCGAAGTTCATTGAACTTCATGGGTTTTCAAAAAAACATTAAAGAGACTTTTTTTGAGTGACCCTCTTGCACAGTATCTACCCGATGCGACAAAGTAAGTTCAAAAGTTAATTTTGAAAAAATTGATTGGACATCTCACCATCATCAAGAGCATTTTTGACGGCACGGAGTCCATCTCGCACAGCATCCTTGAGTTGTGTTAATGTGTGTTTGTTGGGCCCTTTCAGCAAAATTGTGACACTGTGTTTATGCTTGCATTCTTCCACAAATGTGAATTTGTTTTCTCCCTTGAAAGCCAAAAAAAACCAACGATTAAACATTTATTGAAAAACATTTTATGGCTATCTTTCTTATTTGGTCAGGATGGCTTAGAGTTGGTTAAAATATTCATTAAGTTTGGGGGAACGGGGAGGATCCTTATATACTATTACCATACATTTCTAGGATCTCCGATACCTCTTACAAACTTAGCAATTAGACACAGATAGATCTGAAACTAAAGTACTGGGAAACAATAGACTTGATCTTCACAGTGGGCATGACAAACCTGCATTAAAGTTTACTTTCATTTGAGGCATTAGTAATTAAAATAGATTCTGACTTCATAACCTCTCAGTCAACTCAAAACATAACTTGTTAGCATTACATTCCCTATGCTTTGTGAATTTTCCTCAATTTCTCTGTATTATAAATGCTCCTCCACCTGGATTAAATGATATATAAATTCCAAATTTTTCCCTAGTTGCCAAGAAGTCTGCACTTGCTTTTAGCTATTCGTCTCATAGCTAGACAGAAATGGAAAGTAAAAAACAAATTAGCAAATTACGAATAATATTACCAAAACATGTTCATAGACCAGATTTGAGAAGCCTAGTTGTTCTTCAGAAAGGTCATCTAGACAGTTCATGGCAGTACCACCACAAGCTAAGGTTAAGCGTTCCATATTACGACGCTTTGCACGTCTCAAAGCCAAAATACCTTCCTTGGCCAGCAAGTCCAATGAAAGCGGGTCGATTCCCTACAAAAAAATGCAAATAGATTAGGCCTTACTTAAAACAACCCCTAGCAGAAGAAATCAGAGATGAAGCTCTTTGATTTTTTGGCCAATTTAAGGAAAATTCTTTGATTTTTCTGCGACTATCTTCTGATAAGCAGCTAGTAGACTAAGAGCGTTTATTAAATAAAGCAAAAAAAGAAAAATTTACTCAGTACCAAAAATATTTTTATTTCTTAAATGATGCAATAATGATTTTGGCATTAGCATTTCCGCAACTTGCTGATGCTGAAATTTAATGACAATCCTACATAAAGTAATCTCTACATAACATCTTGCAGTATTCACTGGAAAATATTCTGTTGGAGGAGCTAAAAATCTTTGCAGAACTAACACTTCTTTTAAAATGATAGATGACATTGTATAAACAGAAAGGTTTTTACCTGATGTAAGTCTCTTCTCTATCTTATTATCATCAACAATCATCAAAACTCAGTAAATATTAGGTCTTTGGTTGAGTTTCAGAACAAAATCACACAAAATTAAAAGCAACGGTTAGGGATATGATACCTTTTGATTGATGACAACAAAGTTTTTATCGGTTTTATCACACAACTTCTTTTTCAGGGCGATGATTTTCTTTACTCTATCTTCAATGAACTGCCGTTCTGCAAGAACTAACTTTTCACGCTCCTCTGCTGTTTTGTAGAAGAAACCAGAGTTCACTTCACTGGTAAAAAAGAAAGAAAAGAAAGAAAATAGCATTAATAAAAGTGGGGGAAAGAAAATCAATTATTCTATTCAACATTTCATCATTCATTGATTGAATCATCTTGAGAAAGAGAGAGAAAAAATGAGAAAATGTAGAATAAGGAATAGAATAGATACACCTAGCAAATATATGATACAGAAATTTATTTGTAAATCCATACAGCATTTTTGATCGTGAAATTAAAACATTAAGTACATCAATTTGCCACTTATAGTTTGTTTGATGATTCAAGACAGTCATTATACCTGAAAAATGGATTGGGTTTCCTTGGATGACATCAGATGGTTAATTTTTCTTTAAGTCTCTCCACAATTTGAAACTTGTGAAAGAGTTAGACGAGTTGTTGTGCACTAAAAATATATTTGTCTGATTGCAGTTGCTTTAGCGGATTTAAAAATGGTAATGTGGGCGCTGACCACAGACTTTGAGTCTTACAGATAAGATACGCATTTTTACGTCTCTAGAAAAATGTGAATTCTGAGCACATAGTTCAGAACTTTATCAAATTTTTGCATCTTGAATTGAAAATTTGTTGAGGGAGGATTGACCAAAAATCTGTTGATCCAGCTGGACTAATAGTGATTTATAAACTTATAGACCAACATTAAAGGCCAGGCACATCAAACTGGATGTGACAATCCTCCATGACTGTTCCTGTACTATAGCCCTGTCCACTTCCTTGGAAACATAGCAATCTAAGCAGATTTTGAATGATACTTACCTCTTCTCGTACTCCAGACTGACATTGCAGGTTAGAATGTAGGCGTTAGTCACTCTCTTTGGCATATCAGGGTGCCGTGCTCCATGATCGAGGACAAGACCTAAACAATAACTTCAATCATTAATACGAAAGGAGACATTTAATGAAGTCAAGATGACAAAATTTCAATTTTGTTGTGATTTCCCTTCTACAAAACAAGCTTAGTTGAATAACAATGCTTATAAAACTTTCTGAGGAGAACTGCACTTACTTTGAAGCCACTTAACACCGGTTAAACTGAGTTGGTTAAATATATACTGTTCCTTCAGATATATAGGAGGGATAAACTACAAAAACAGAACTTTCCACATGTGAGTTCAGGGGGAACCAGACCTAAGGAAACATATATGTAGTTTTGCAAATGTTTTATAGGATGACAAAAAATGATAGCACTATCACTAGATCTGGAATGAAAAAAGTCTTTCTCGTATCTTCCGGTGCACAAGATGATGAAATGAAAACCTATAAGAATAAAATACTAACAATTCAGGGTTTTTTTTCCTCCATTAGAAAAATTAGTTTTGGGATCATCAGGACATAATTTATCTTCTTTTGCTTGGCTTGATATGATTTGTACAAGTAAATAAACATATGGATAGGCAATTAAACTACTCAGAGGTCCTGCAGAAATAGATTGTGTTTGCAAGTTGAAGCTTCTCACAGCGCCAAGGTCACATTCAAATCCATGAAATCTTATCAAGTGTTTAAAAATTCACTTCAATTTTAATTTCATTCAAATACTTATCGTGCTCAGTAGGCTCTGCAAGATAAAGAAAATGAAAAGATTTCATTGACGTCAAATTGCTACAGGGTAAAAGCAGCTTCCATTAAGAAAAAATCTCACCTACTCCAAAATAAGTTTCTGTCAGAGCTTCTTGTCAAACAGATTATCGCTGCCTTCCTCTAAATTTTCCTCTTCACCTAAGTAAAATAATCTTAGAAACTTGAGTTTACGATGGTGATAATAATAATGAAAAGATCTCACCATTTATTAAAGCTGTGTCCGTGGCTGTCTTATGCTGCATTTCCATAATTTCAACCATGTTTAAATCTAGATCTTTGCCCGGGTTTTGGATCGCCAAAACAGCATCAACACAATGCTAAAATAATTAAAATTGAGATAATTTTCGATTTTTGAGCATAACAAGCTAAAACACTGGGAGATAAGACTGAGTTGATTATAGGATAAAAAGAAGAGATGATTCTTGAAAATACCAATTTTACACTTTGTAACAAGAATGAACAAACATCAATTCCAAACAATTCTTGTTAGTCCCTTTCGATTTTAGAAGGATACGATGAATATTTTCTTTCCAACACCTACTTTATTTTAATGAAAGTATGCAATTTTATTAGAAACTTTGACAATGACCCTTCAATAGTAATTAGTAGTTCATCAATCAGATCATTGATATAGGGATGGTCATGAATCCCATGTTGCAACTTATATTTCCACCACATATGAGGCAAATAGCAGACAACATACAACCAAGTAACAAAAATAATTAAATAACAAATACAAAATCTCTTTTAAAAACACAAGCATATTCCAATTCATCAGAATCATGGATTATCCGGTCAAATGCAATGTAATATCTCTTTGCTTTCTATCGTTTAAGGTTTAAAGTGATAGGCATGGAAAAATCTAATTACAGTAGAAACCGCATATAATGGTACGCATTGGGATCAGCCAAATGTTACATTTTGGGCGGGATTCTGGTACGAGCAGTTTTTGCATAAATATTGAGTTCCGAACGGCAACCGCACAGCCTGCTGGAGTAGAGAGTTTTCGGGAAATATCGTCCGATCTCACGACAACCGATGCTCTTTCTGAATATGAATTGAATTGTTCATGTTGAATTTTGCTGAAAAATTTGATCTCCCATAGGTTAATAGGACCTAAAAAGAGTATGTAATAAATGCAATTTTTGAAAGACTTAGAAAAACAGTTCTGTTGGAGTTATGTAGTTGTCATGCTGGATTATCATGTGTCATTACATGCGGTTTTCACTGAATGAACAAAGGACAAAGCTCGAAACAGAGAAAAATTGTCGCATTGGACACTTACCTCTGTGAGCAGATCAGCCAGGGAGTGATGCACTTTGGTACGGAGCGATGTTCTGGCCACATCGACGAGGATTTCCCTGTTCCCTTTACACTCTATTTTAAGTTTCTCTAGTACTTCAAGAGCTTTAGTGCGAGCTTGGTTGAAACCTTCAGCAATGATTCGTGGATGCAAGCCCTAAGACATGGAACAGAGTGGTGAATTACATGAAGATAAAAACCATCAATCATTTCAAAATCATGTTCACCTATCAAGAACATACAGAGGTCCTAAAGGAAATTATGATTAAAAAATTAATTTCCTTCTTTCAATTGCTCTTTCAAGTTTAGCTCCAAAATTGTTATACTTTCAATAAGTAAAAAGGAAGCCTAAAAAGGAACAATTATAGTACAGACTTACTTACTAGGAAAAGTAAGAATTTTTTTAGAAAAAACAGGAGCTAAAAGCAAAACTGAGGCTTCTGTAATAGGACTGATTTCTGAGTGAAACTTGAAAATTTTTTTAGATTTTCAGATCTAAAAATATATTTTAAAAAAACAGTATACGTAGCTGAAACTCAATACAGATAAACATCTATCTTGAACGCTCCTTTGATGAGATGAAAAAAAAGCAGAGTACTTCATAGCTGTGGGAGAAAATTACACTTTTAAAGTACTGTCGCCAATGGACTTACCTCTGATATCAAGAGATCTGCTTGTTTCAGTAATTCACCAATGACAAGAACTGTAGATGTTGTTCCATCTCCGGTCATATCGTCCATTGCTGTAGAGGCACGAGCTATCAACGATGCAGTTGGGTGTTGAATTTGCTGCAAAATAAAAAGCATTGAATAGACCGCTCCAAGAACAAGCAATTTATGGAAAATAGTGGTATTATAGTATCAAAAATCCTTTCATATCTTTATTAGAACCAGGGGCTGCTTGCCACGGGGAGGCAACAGAAACAATGCTTCCCTTGTCTTGCAGGTAAAGAAAAGTAAAAAAATACAATAAACACTGGAAAATCACAAAGATAACGACAAATAAAATCAGTGAAAACTATTTAAGAACTGGCTGCAGTTCTTCACAGTTCACGCAAAAGTGTGAGGAGAATATATCCCAAAAATCCGCTTAGGTATGAGTGAAGAGTGGATGGAGAAACTTTGTCTTGGAGCCTCTGAGCGCTCTCACTTTCATACATAAAAAGAGAAAAACAATAAAAAATTTACCATTTCGTGTAATAAAACATTCCCATCCTTGGTTATTTTGATATCACCAGCACCAGATACTAGCCTGCAACAGAAAACAACAAAATTTAAGATCATCCACATAACATCATTAGATAGCAAAACTTGCCTACGCTACAATTTAGTTAAAAAAATACCTGGACCAAGAAATTCCTACAACTGAATATCAATTCAAGATTTTGGACTGGAAACTTCAACATCCTGATTTTTCCCTTCCAGATTTTTTTTTCTTTCCAATTTTCGGTTTTTAACCTTACAGATAGGTAATTTACTTAAGAGTAATATAGCATGAGCACTGACTTGGCAGTCTCATTTTCTATCCACCAAGCTAAACAGTAAAAGTTTAAATAAGCAGGATGAGACTTCAAAATGGGATACATGGCATGGTTAGGATAGGGCTGTCTCTTGCCCGGTTGTCAGTGATCCCAAGCATACCGATGTATCTGTACAGCGTACGAACCAAAAGCTTAGACGGAAACGCTTCCCCACTACCTTAACTTGTCCATAAACGCGACATCATAAAATGGCGAAGCAGCCAATAGCAGCACGGATCTCACACACAGAGCACCCGGGAGCACTACTACATAGTCGTGCTGACATATATTCAATTATTGGGCTGCTGGAACGCTTAACCAGCAGGCCGATTATTGAAATTTTTTATTTGTCCGGCAGACACAGATGACATAGGTTAAACGTCCTAATGTGATTGGTCTGCTATGTCTTATCTCTACTCTGTTGTACACAGAATTGACAGCATGCTAGCAGGAACTTGAAAGGTGCTTTTAGCTTCTTGACAATTCTACCCAACATAGGCACGACAAAGCAGCGATAAGACGTAGCCGACCGATCCCATTGCGCCATTTAACATACATCATCTAAGTCCACCAGACAAACATACAATTATTATTTATAATAATCAGCCTGCCGTAGCTTAGTAGACTTAGTGCGATATTGCATGCTATTCTAATCAGGGTGGTTTGCTTAGGTTAGGGGCGCAATGAGGGAAAAGATAGGTGGGTCACCAAATCTGATGTTGCACTTAGGGGTCAGATATGAATCAACTATGAATATTTATACGAAATTTGAGGGACTACTGTGCGCGTAAATACACAGGAACATGTGAAAAAACAGTATGAACGGAAGAAACGAGCACATGGTCCGGTACTTACATCTTCATGGTTCCCTTGGGACCCAGGTTGGTTTTCATCACATCTTGAATACCTTTGGCAGCGGAAATATTCACCGCTAAGGCTTGCGCAGCCCGGGCAAATTCAGCTTTTGGATTCAATAAACTAATCGCTGCCATTATTACGAATTGAAGGATATTATTGAGACAAATAAATAGGTTTCAATCACGAACTGGTAGATGATATAAACAATGCTTTCAGTGAAGTGCTTTTCACTGCGTTTTGTGTTTCAGCAGAAGAACAACAGAGTGCAGCATGCCTCACGCATGCGCAAATCGCCTGAGCGATTCCAACGGCGCGAATTTTAAATTGACGGACTTCAGGTCTTCGCCAGAATTGTGAAGTTCTTAAGTATTTAAAATTGCTATCATTGTGTGTGGTGGCTTATTTCTGAAAACTAAGGCCCAAGAAACCCTACGGAGGGTGCGATAAGCTCCTAAGAAAAAATTGCGGCTTTATTTACCTGGTTAACCTTTTCACCGACCACAAAAACCATTGTGATCGTTGAGAGCGGCACCCTAAGCACATTTTGCTATCAACAAAATGAACACCTATATGAAGATAGTGAACGAAAAACAGCACAAATTTTTATTAATAATGATACCAAATTTGTTAAGCTATATAATTATTGACCAGGAGCAATTCTAAAATAGGTACTTCTAACATTAATAATGTAACTCAAAACTCTTTATTCCCCCCCTCCCCCAAAAATATGGAATTTTTGAAAGTTGACTGGTTATGTGATGAAATGATGACTTCTCTTCGCTTCACTTCTCCTTCTGAGGCAGCTGAGGAAGTTTAAGTCAAAGAAATAGGAGGAGGGTTCTTAAAAATAAAAGTTTTTATTTTCATTGGTACATAAATGGTAAAATAGTACAAGAAAAACAATTTTGATAAATTCAACAACATTCACAAAAATAATCTCTACCGAAAGAATATGAAAGGATTTGATTGGTTGTTTAGAATTTAAAATTTCATGACTCAAATGAATGAGAAGCAAGCTTGGTTTGATTATGTTGAACATTACAAATTACGAGCTGCGGAACTTAAAAAATTGATGAATTCTAATTTTGCACAAAGATTGAATTCTTCTCAACTTCTTACTTCTCTCATCGGAAGAATGTCTTTTCTTATGGTGAAGTATTTTAAGATTTTGTACACTAGAAAAAAGATGCCATGAAAAAAAAAAATTCATCTACATTCTTGGCTGATTTTGGTGCCAGCAAGAGATGGGGTCCATTCAACCACATTTCTGGTTGGTGTAATGACCCTCCTGGCTAGCGCCAAAATCAGTCAGGAATATGGTTGAAATTATCATAGGCTTTTCCCTGTAGAGGCGGATTAGTTTCCTGCACATACTGCTCACTTTCTTCATTCAGCAGTGTAGCATTTGGGAGGATTGCTTCAAGATCATTCACTAGTAATGTAGCCTCAAGATTAAAATGTTCATTTTCCTCTAAGTTTCTCTCACTTATTAGGAAAATGTCTTTTGACCATTTTACTGAATAGACAGTGTTTAACAGGAAGGAATCAATTCCATCTCACAAATGTGCAACTTTTTCTTTTTTCAACACCACAAAAAAAATAACCATACATTTGAGAGCTTGCTACGTCCCTTAAAATGAGTTAGGAGATATTCAATTTTGAATTTATCCTTCTACCTTTGTTCTCTTTTTTCACGCATCTCTGTCTTCCTCCAAACATCGCTTGGTATAATGGAAATTAAGTGATGGTAAAAAAACTGCTGGTCCCTTGATATTTTGTTTTTAGTGCAATGCTAAGGACAGTAAGACTGAATTTTTGGCAAATTACTCCCCACTCTATTAAAATAATCTGTTGAGATTTTTTGGAGGAAATGTTGCTCTTCTGTGAGTAAAAAAATAAAGCAGGACAGATTTTAATATGGTACAACCAATATATTGTTGGCTTGAGTTTTCTTTCTTCCTTTTTTTTTAGGTTTGTTCGGCATCTATTCATTTTTTTTTTTTATTACAAAACTGACCAAAATATCTCATTCAAGAAAAAAGGTTGGTTAGTTTTGTTTAAAAAAAATTAAAGGATAAGGGCGATTTGCAAGGTCACAATCGGAGATACACATTTTTCAACTGAAGCCATCAATATGGGATTTTGTATTCACATTATTGATATAGAAGATCAAGTTCTCTGTCAATTACAAGAGTTGTTTTTAAGATAGAGGACGGATTTGATCTGTCCCTACAATCTGTTGTACCTTATCAAATTAATGAGCACATATTTCAAAAGGAGCAGTCTTTTTTCAACTCCAACTTCTAGTTTTTTCTTCTTCTTATTTAAAAAAAGAAAAAGAAAACCGAAAAAAGATATTTTGTGCCCTCTCCTTCATTCCTTGAAAATTTGAAGACAGAAGTATGAAATCCATTAGAATACAGGAAGAAAATTGGAGAAAAGGGCATTTTCAGCAAACTGTCATCCAAGATATTGAGTCAAGTTCAGTATATCAACTAGAGAAGGAAGATACCAAATATTGAAGAAAATAGTAAATTAATTTGATTTCAAACTAGGAGCCTAGTGAATTTGCTCATTAATCATTAACCATGGCAGTTATTTTCTACACACCAAATTAAAAATTCATAAAGAAACAGTAAATTTTCAGCTTGAATAGATATTCACCTTCACAGAAAAAATCCACTGTTAAAGTTAAATTAAGATACCTTTTTTCTTGTAAAGCAGCTAACAAAAAAAACTTAATGCAGCAAAACAATACACGAATCTTATATTTCTTTGTGAGTAGATAAAAGCTATTAAAACGCATTAACATTTAAACGTAACATAACATGTAAAGTACATCATTAAAAAAAGGCTTGGCACCTTTGGCTCTTACTCTTACTTAGGTAACTGATTTTTCTGAGTTGGATAGATGCTTCTCATTTTTGAAAATTTGAATCTCATCCAATAATTCCAAAGAGAAAATTACCTCACTGAACTACCAAACGCACTAAGGACTTAGAAATAATAACTATAATATATTTAATGATTTTAACAACAACATCTCTTACAATTCTTTTTAAAATACTGGAATAACAAGTGGGATTTTATGAGATTATTATAGACTGTGTTTTTGGTGTTTTTGCTTTGCTCTTCAATGATCAAGATTTTCTCTTTATTTTTGGTAGGAGATACTTACTAACAGAACTTCTCATCTAGATTAGGTAAGAAAAAAGTAATCACAAACTATTCACTTGGTTTCAACTTACTAGACTTTAATGACATAAATAACTTGCTTGGAAAACAAAAGTGTGATTCCAGGGCATTAAAAGAACCAAAAAAATTGTTTTTATATACATACTGAAATGAAATTGAAGGCACAAGTTAAAAGATGCGAGCTTATATTTAGGTAGTTTCAAATGGAAATAATACCCTGACAAAAATTATGCTTAACTGTTTTGTTCTTTACATTTCTTCATACTAATAGTCTTTTGTTCTTCTTTGTATTCTTTAAATAATACATATTTCAGGATTCACTTCATCTTCATGCATTTACTTTGTATAAACACCAAATCTGTGCATTGAAATGAGTCAAAATTATCAAGAACAAAATAAGATGAGCGATCAAATTGTTATTGAGGTAAATGTCTACCTGCTTGGAGCTGAAACGCTTAAAATCAAGTTTTTGGTACCATTGTATACAGCAGTGTCTTGCTAGTGCTGTGGCACAAAAGAAAAACCCCACAAAAATGTTAAATGAAATTTCAGTAATGGGGTTTTGAAGTATGATGTTCCAAGCAACACAGTCTAGAGGTAAAAAGTCAATCTGCCATTGTACAATTTTCAGCTAAGAATAATACTTTGTGGTCTCTTGTAGAACAAACCGTGAGCTAATTTGCTTTCAATTTTTTGGGGAAACAAGAAAGGCCTTTCAGCTAGTAGATCTAATCAACCAAACTTATCCAAAAAAAAAAAAGTTTCCTTAAAAATTTGCAAATACAATAGGACCCTTTTCCTCAGAGACAGATAAAAACAAACATGCAGGTTACTACGGAGGTAGGAGTGTTATTGAAAGTTTTAAGAAAGTGATTGCGCCAATACCTCAGTTTTTACAGTATTTCCATTTTCATCTTCCCATTTATTTTACTATATTTCTTTGTCTAAATAACATTTTTTTATGTGTATATATGAGGACTTATATGTAACAATGGCGGATGTCGAGTTTTCACATTGTGAGAAAATCGAATTTGAAGTTTTTGAAGCTTTGCACTTTTCCGCCCGTAGAACCGAGAGGATTCGTATAAAGTTTTTCACGAAGAGCGACTCTTCCGGTAAAAGACACACGTTTTATGATCTATGTAAGTGAAAAATTGAAGGTATAACAGTGATTTGAAAAAAATGTGAGATCCGCTATTTTTACTGAAAACACTTTTTCATGCATGAAACAAAGTCTTCAGGAAGGTAAGGCTGGTGAAACGATTGAAATGAACCAAAAGTAAGTCAATGCTGAATCATTTAACAAAATTGAACAAGAAACTAAACCGTTTGTAACTTTTACAACAAAAACAAGGAAGAAATTCTAAAATCAGTTGAAAATTCAACAATTCTGGCGAGACAGTCCCGATACGTATAATTTGAGTGTCAGCTACGGCCCATGGCCGATGGGCGGGCAGTTATTGCAAGTGGGTTCCAATCCCCATAGTGTCCTGCCGCGCCGGCCGGGTCAAAACAGTAGATTCTCACATCCGCTGTTTTTACAAACAACATGGTTTTCAGTTCATATCTCGCCGAAAAATTTCGCTGAAAGTCTGAGACTTTGCACAGGAATTCTTAGAGGCTCTAGATTTCGAAAAAAGCGTTTGCCCTAAAAATGGCGGATGTCAGCGACCGCTATTGTTACATATATGTCCTCATATGTTCCTATGAGAGGCTAATGATCTCTAGTGGTGTGCATCTCTGAAATACTCATTCTTATTTACTAGAAAAGCAAAGATCGGTACTTCAAAATCCATATTACAAAAATATGAAAAGAATGAAAAAAAAAAAAACTGACATGTTTATGGCACTCACAAGTGCTTTCCGTCCTTTTCGACAACATGTTGGGCTTTCTCAAGTAATGCAATGAATCAAGTAAAATCTGAAATCAGGTATTCTGATTTTCAATAAGTATTGCAAACTTTTCCACCATACCTTACTCTTAAGAGGGAAAACTAGTTTACATTTCTTCAAAACTTCTTGAATTTTCCTTGGATGCTTGAAAAGTACTCTGAAAATTTCAAATGACAAACTTGATTCGTGTTTCATCAAAGATATAAAGTTGGAGCGGAAATGTTATGATATATGATTTTAAAGTTTACGTGCAAAATTACTGCTGTTGCTCCCATCTTTTTATTTCTCGCCTTCTCAGATGTTACAGTAAAGGGGTGTGTTTTTCATTTAGTCAACATTCTTAATCCGTAAAAACACTGACAGTTTTTTTGACAAAGTATGGAACATTATTAAAAGGCAATGTACAAAAATAAGCTAGACAAGTACAAAATTGATTCTTTTCACACATAGCCACAGTTGATGTTTTATAAGTTTAATGCTTAGGGCTACATTTGATAAAAGCTAACTAAATTGAAGACTAGCAGAATATGAGCCTTCAAAGCGTTTTAAAAAGTCCTACAATAGACTTCAACAGCTGTGGACCTCCTTTATAGGTACTGAAGAAGAAAGTTACCTCACATGTTGTAGAAAAGGGCAATCAACTAATGAAGAATTTTGAGAGATGATGGAAAGAGATGGGGCGGGTGAACAATTATTTAGGGGCCACTCATAAAATAGATGACGCTTTAACGGCTTCAATTTTCCTGCCTACTGATCAGTTGTGTTTAACTTAGTATAATTCTGTAAGTGAGGTTAATGGAGAGCCAAAAACTCTTTAAGAAGCCCTTTCTGGCGATGATAGTTTTAAATGGAAAATAGCTGTAAAAGAAGATTCTGTATGATTCTTTCTTGAGAGACCAAGCATGGACTCTTGCCAATCGTCCCTCAGATAGGAAACCTATTAAATGGAAATGGGCAAATTGGTGCAAATTATTGTCCATTAAAAAGCTTATATTCTTAGACTCTTTGAAAGTGTCCACATGTCGGAGAGAAAATCAATACCTGCACCTTTGATGTCTCTTTAAAATGATAGTAAAAAATCTGAGGAGCAAGACAAGGATAAATCACCGACTGAAATTGTGGACCTGACCAATATACCGTATGAAAGCTTTATTGGAGCACTAATGTGCTTAGTTGCAGGTTGATATAGCTTATAAAGTCAGCTTCCTTGGTCAGTTTGATAGCTGCCCTCAGCCAATTCACTGGTAAGATGCAAAACTTACATTGCGCTATTTGAAAGGGACTTAAGAGCTCAGTCTTGTCTTCAAGAAAACAGATACGCACATTACAGCCTATGCTGATGATACACTGGATATTTGTTCAAATTTGCTAATGCTTCAATCTCATGGTGCAACAAAAAACAGTTGACAGTTGCCCTATCGCCAACTGAAGCAGAATATACGAGTATAGTTGAAGCTTTAAAAGAAGCAGTATTATTTTACAATTTACATCATGAAGTGTTCAAGGTTAAAAGAAGTATTAATATTTCAACTTTGAATGATAATCAAAGTGCCCGAAAATTGGCATCAAATACAGCTGTTCATAATAGAGCCAAACACATTGATATACGTCTTCATTTCATTTGTGAAGCCACCAATAATGATGTCATAATGCATGAATACTTATCAACTGATCTTACGACTGCAGATGTTTTAACTAAAATTTTAAACAAAATAAGCATGACTTTTGCGGTGAAAACATACAGCAACCAAGAAAAATTTTGTAGGCCCCTACAAGGAGCTCTTTCTTTTGTTTCATCCTCTCTTTAATCATTTGTTTATCACACATTATAGGATTAAGGAGGTGTATTGTTGGTAGTAATCCTACTGCCCAGTCTGCAATCTTTCCGTGTGACATCTGTGGTGTCCAAGCGCACTGGCACTTCAGTACTTACTCACTCTCTGAGTTGTCCATCTTCATTAGGTAGTTTGTGTCTTTTTAGTGTCAAGTTTACCTGAGTAAATATGTCTGTATTTCCTCTTTCGTCATCATTTAGTCCTTTTCTAACACATCAAAGTTACTTTTCTCCTAAAGCTACGTGAGTAACAATAAAAGAGAAATACTTGACGGACATCTTGACTAACAAGAGAAAACTACCACTTATCAACTAAAACTGCAAATGATTCGTTCAAAAGAACACAAATTAAATTATTCTGTGGGCATTTCACACAGCTTGAAAACTTCAAAAAAGTCCTTGGCCTAGGGCGGTAACTTGGAAAAATTATACCATTTAATAAACTTAATAAATGATTAAATATATAAAATTACATTTAACATTTTGATCAAAATAATAAGAAATAACAACAAAATAAGGTTAGGATAGAGAAAGGGAATTTCATAGAATTGTCGGTGGTTGACAATAATACACATACTACCTTTCTAATTATTGTTTCACAGATGGGTATGTGGAACAATTTAAACCACAAATATACTTTAATTCCATGTTTTGCAAGCTTAAAAAAACAGGTGAGCTATACCTTGCAAGTATGTATAGCTAGGTGTAATACAGCGGAATTGAGAATGATCACACAGAAAATCCAACAATTTCCATTATATTAATTTAATTAAAGGCAGAGGATGTAAAATCCATTGTTCTAACCTTCTTCGGCAAAATAGCGTTGTCAAATCATTTCATGGCGTCTTCGGGTTTTCCTGCGCCATGGCTTTAATTGCTATAACTTCTTGCCTGCAAAATAAAAAATTATGCAATTTAACAAATAAGTAGCAGTTAAATAAAAAATTCGCAAATTCATAATTTCGCTACACAAGACGGTTGTCAGAAAAACGAGGTCAGCTCATGACGTGCTCAAAATTTAAAACACCAAGGCAGTCTTTTTCAATAAAAAAAAAGAAGAAAGTTTCATTGAAAACTTCGCCTGCAGCCTCTGCTTGAGCACTCTTTCATGTCCTGCAACTTCTACAAGGTCCTATTCCTGTCGATAGTTACAAATGTTTGCAAAACTCACTCAAGTTGCTGGAATACACAAATTCCTTTAAAATAAAACTAACAGTGCAATCAGTGGCAAGCCATCATAAGAAAGGCAAGCTTTGCTTGCCCTATGGTTTCAAAAGAAAGAAGGAAATTACACCCATGAAATTTATTTAATTTTGGCCGAGTATAATTGACAAAAGGTGAAACGTGAGTAAACTGTGGTAAAAACAGAAGGGAAGAAAACGGAAATTCGCGAAAAACCACAAAAGAAAAAACAAAGCCAATATGAAGGTGGCGTAGAGCGCTGCACGGCCAGAACAAAGCCCAATCCCTGTTTGGAGAATTGTTTTTTGTGGGCTGAAAAAAACGCCTGAACTCAACGAGAAAAATCAAGTTGGAGGGAAAATGCCGTATGCACAAAGTCTGAACGATCGATGCTCGATTGCAGCTCGCTTCCCTTGGCCCTTGTTTCCATCGTGTTGCTGTAGCCTTCCATGCGCTCTATTGTTTCCTCTTTCCATCAATGTTGAGATTACTCCTTTCTGAGCTGGTGCCCTCCAACTCTACAACTTGGATCTACTTGGTGGTGAATGAGCAAGTCTCAATTGTATTTCAAACGCAGAGAGGTGGTTCTTTTCGAAGCTAATATAAGTAATTAATACAGTGGACTCTCGATAATTCGAAAACCTTGTTGATTCGAAGGAAAGTCTGTATCCCTTGAAAATCTCTCGATAATTCGAAGAAAATCGATGTATTTTTCTCCCCTCGTTGATTCGAAATTCTTAGGCTGGTGCGGCCCTCTATAATTCGAATTTGCGACGAAAATTCTCTCTGCAATTCGAAGTGTGAGAAGTAAATATGGTCCTCCCTCTATAATTCGAAATAAGACGGTGCATTCCCTCTACAATTCGAAGTCAACTGAAGACTACTTCCAAAAATAAAACTCTAGTATTTTAGGTTACTCTTGTGTGAGTAGAGTAATTAATAAAAATTAATACTTTTAAAATTAAATATAAATAATGAATAATAACTTAGAGTAAGTTTTACTTCCGAAAAGAAATAAACTAATATTTTTGGTTCCTTTCGGCAAAAATCCGTCCGTTTGCCCCTCTATATTCGAACCTCTTTAATTCGAAATTTCTCCACATAGAATCTCTTTAATTCGAACTCTCTTTATTTCGAAACCTCGCTAATTCGAAGAAAAAGCCGTTTCCCTTCAATTTCGAATTATTGAGAGTTCACTGTAAAAAGCATTAAGCTCTTGGACTGGGACTACGAGTGCCTTGAATAAGTAGCAAACTGGGAGGTAAGAGAAAGCAGCTGATCCTCTGATGTTTGAAAACGAGATAAAAGGGAACAAAATGGATGAAAAAAATCAGAATGAGAGCGAGGGGTAACACTTTATTTTTTCAAGCCGTTCTATTGAATTCTATTCCTGAAATGGCGAAAAAAGAGATAACAGTGTATCCAAGCTTTATAAATGCTTCTGCGGAGTCCCCTCTGAGAGGAGGGAGAGGGTTTACGCCACAACCCCCCCCCCCCCATGGCCTTTACTACAGCTTGCCCTATCACCAAACCCACCGCAACAAGCAGCTAAATGGCGATTTAATTTTTAGAAATTTTATCAAATGTTAACTTGATAAAAGACTTACCAAAAGGAATCGGTGGAGGAGTTGGGCACTGAAAATCAGAGGAGGTGCTTTGTGGAGAGGCAAAAAGTGTCTGCAAAGAATGCATACTGGAGGACAGGCGGCTCACATTCGGAGACGTCATTTTGCTACAGTGCCGAATATTGAGGTTTTGTAAACTATTACAGTGATCAATGATTGATTCTATACTCCTGTCTGTTAGCTGCTTGCAACCCTGAATAATAAGAGATTCATACTTCAAAATCAAGAAAGTAATTAAAGAAAGTAGTCAAACAATCCACATGAAAAAAGGCCACATGAATCATCAATTTTTTTTGATCATCCAGCTGATTGAACGATTCTTGAATATGTTTCAAAAGCTACAAAGAAAAATCCATGATATCTATTTTAATACATAGAATTCATGTCAGATTAGTTGGCAGTGGTTTGCTTACGACTGTCATGTACAAACCATTTTACATTTGTCAAGGGCGCTATTTCAGGTTATTGCAGGGCTGGGCAAGAAAGTGAAGGGTTTTTTTTTTGCTTAGCTCCTCATGTTGGAAACGGCAGACGCAGTCTTCCAAATTCTCTCCGACGATTTTCCTGTCTCTTTATTCCTTCCCTGTCGTTAAGCGGTTTTCCCCGGCCCAATTCCAAAAGGCTGGGCTGGGCAAATACCCGGCCTGCGTCCCCCTCAAATGGCGCCCCTAATATATTTGATGGAGGTAGTGCCACCCTTGGTCAATCTTTTATTACTATTTAACAGCGGGGGTACAGCCGCTTAGGAACAGAAAATGAACAACCAAATTTCTGAGGCTAGTTCTCATACATTCATGGCTAGGCTCTGGAAAAGCATACCTGAAAAATCTCGATTTTTCAAAATATCAAAAAAATGAATATTTCCTTCACTCTGACACTACTGAGTTACCAATAATTTGATATTTTAGATTGGCTTTTTCTATTTTCTTGACCATGTCATGAAAACCTAAAGCATCTTCTAAACATTACTACATATTTCATGGCTAGCTCAAAATCGATAGTATGGGAGTTATGCTTTAGGGGTTTAGTCTTCAACCGGAAAGCAGAACAGGTTTACAACAAAACCTGAAAGACATTTCACTCCATACAAAATTGCTTGGATTTTTCGCATTGAAAAAAAAACCTGATCAGCATTTTGGAGAGAGATTTTGAATGAAAATAATTCATAACAGAAAATGCATAGTATGATAATTACGTTTCCATGACATTGAGCCACTAAACAAGATCTGAACTAGAGGTAAACGTCACATATTTCCTATTCATAATCTTGCATAGAAAATAATTCACACAATGGAAAGTTTGATAGTAAATTTCTAAACAAGGTAATAGCAAGTATTTTGACGGTGTAAGTCGGCAATCACATAACTCAGTTTGCGACGTCGCAAACTTCCTGTCATACTTTATTTTTGAAATGGAAAACTACTCAACGGCAATTTTTTAAAACTGTCATGATTTTTCTTCTCAATGCGAAGAAAATTCTGCAAAAACTTCAAGAAATAATGTCAATTTGTTCTCCTTAAAAAAAATGACGTAGAGGCGGAGATTTTCAGACACCGCAAACGAGTTATGCGATTGCCGACTTATACCGTCGATTTACAACATAGATCAAATGGAAGTTATATTATATAAATGTCATTTGTAACTTTGCCGTAGAACCATGTTAGCTGTAAAAATTCATACCTTCTTTAGGAGTTGATTTCCAGACTTTCCGTTGAGCAATTCGTATTTATTGTGAAGTTTTGAAGAGAAAATATGCTGCATAGTGTTTTAGTACATGCCTTATCTAGAGGCCCATGATAGTAGGAAATTTAAAGCTTTCAAGGTTACAATCTTCTAGAGGTATTTTTCTTTCTTGAATTAAATTTTTAATTACTATTGATTCTCTTCTATTTCATTAGCTTTTCTTTTCATTTCATTATGATGAACTTTCTAACTGACATTCAAACGTAATCATGTCCTCTTGTTACTCACTTTTACTTCAATCCTTGTAAAAGAAAGTTAATACATCTACCAGTCTGTACAATGCTCTTGAAAATTACTCACAATCAGTGGTTTTGAAAATGGAAATTCATAAAAAACTACATGACACAATCTTAATAAAAATGTATACAAAATAAAAAGTGTTTCTGAAATCATACAAGCTTCTCCAGACCAACCTCTAAATTGAGAGTTTTTAATCTTCGTAATGATTTTGAAAGTAAGACCACTCCTTCATCAGTCAAGTTAAAGCATTCACAAAGAGTTATGGCTTCCAAACTTGGATTATGCAAGCCAACAAATTTGAGACCATGGTGAGTGATCTGAAATTAAGAAAGAGAAACATTTTCTTTTCAAAGAAAAAAATGCAGGATGATTTTTCTATTCCGGTCTGATCAAGAACTTCAAAAAAAAAAAAAAAATGGGCTGATAAGAAAGACTGACGTGTGGCCAGTAAATAAGGATTCCTCTGCTTATAATTCAACCTTTTTCAGGAATTCATTACGTTTCTTTCGTTTTGCCAAGCTGCAGAACTTACTAATGTTTAGGTGAAAAATTCCATTTCTCAGCTGACCTGATGGTGCTGCTTTTATTAATGAATAGAATTGAAGCCTGCATTTCTTATTCAGTTTAAGGTGATTCATCCGCGATTCTTTGCACGGTAAAACTGGTGTGTGATATATTGCATCAATTGAGTAAAAATCTTGGTAAATTTTGACTTTTTAGCCAAAACTTGGACAATAGCCCCTGTGTATGAACCTAATGAATCATTCCCGACCAAAAAGTTGCAAAATTCAGAGAAATAAAAGTAGAACTCTTCTGGGGAAAAAACATTGCATTCGATACAAAGTCGACAACTGTATCGAATGCAACATTATTCTCCAAAACAAACCCTGCTTTTTCTTGATATTTTGCAATTTTGAATAAACTTTTGGGACTTTTGTTGAAAAACTTTTAAAAAACTTTTTAAACTTTTTGTTGAATAAACTCCCGCGCAGGGGCTATCATTCTCCTACTGATGCTGTAAATCTGAAACTGAGATGACTATTGAGCCGATCTTGGTCTCATTTTACAGCTTACATTATTCCTAATTCCAAAACAGGACATTTTATTTACTAAAAAAAGTGACAAAATTACAAGGATTTGAAAATAGGTGGTACAGCTGCTGCTTAAAGGTTTTTAATTATAATTAATTCCTACCAAACAGTATAATCATCAACTTTTAATTATCATTTCCCTTAATTTGTCAGCCTGCTACTGGCAGTACGTATCATCACGACTAATATATTTTTGCATCATTTCCTGTCATTTCTTTAATACCCTCTTCTGCACTTATTCCTTTGAAATCCTTTTATCCAAAATAATGGATATACGGCCACAAAATGCTTTCAAGAGTGTCTTTGAAGGCCAAAAATCAGTAAGCATGTTTACTTTGTTCAAAAAACAATTAAAGACGCACAAATCTACACAGCAACTATGCAAACGGTGAGGGCGCCATTTCGTAGTGGTCTACCCAGGCGGAAATTTTTGTCACTGCTCTCGGTCGGTTCTCTTTGCCTTCAATACTATGGTACCCACATCAATGGGACAGCACCTAAACATTTTTGCCTGCATTGCTACAGTGTTTACATGTACTTTCTTCCCAGAAATTTTACTGGATACTTTTCAAGGCTTTTAACACTTGAAAAAACAAAGACCCTTGAAATGATTTTAAACATACCTGTTGACATTTGCTTAAATCTAAAATTTGCAGCTCTGGAAACTTGAAGGCATATTCAAGGCTTACATCAGTAATTTTGTTACAACCATTCAGATTCAACTCCCGTAGACCTGAAAAACAGATAAAAATATAACTATCAGAAAAAAATGAGATATTTACTAATTCTCCTAATTCTACCTGGAATTGCTTTGAGTACCCTAATTTTTCTGAATTTAAAAAAAAAATAATACTGAAAATCCATTAGTTAAACGGTATTCAATTGAAAAATTCAGAATCCTTTTGTCCAAAAGCAGGAAACTATACCGTCGAATGTTTCAGAAAAACATCTCTGGGTAATAGAAATAATTAACCCCCCTTTTTAACACATAATTTTTCTTTAATTTTAATAAGCGAAGTGTTAAACTAATGGGCTTTTTAATTTAGCTGTTACAATTCTCTCATCATATTAGGTTAGGTAAGAGTCCTCTGTAAGGAGCATCATTTTGCGAGCTTTCACTATCTTGTTTCTTCACCTAAAGATACATTTTTCAAACTTCGCCAAATATAGAAATGGAATGGGGCAAAAATTCCCCGCATTTGCTAAGACATCCTTATGAACTCATTGAGGTAATATATTTGCCTTTTGGTTTGGTGGGGAAAAATATTAAGTGTCGGTGCTTTATAAAGAGCAATAAGTTAGTTTAAATAAGGTGAAAGGGAGAGGAAAAAATAGCTCTCTACGAACCTCTTAATCTGGCTAGAGATTTAACTTCTGATAGGTTCAGCTCACACATTTTTTGAACTGCTTTTTTACGTTTAGCATCTTTCATAATTTCCTCCTCAGCTCTACTGCCAAGTGATATTCGTAGCGGATTTTCATCACGATGTTCCACCTCCGGAACTCTACTTGATGTTGCGACGCTCATTCCGGTGAATCCAGCATCACTTACGTCATCACAGCCAGTGAGTTTAAGAACTCGGAGCCATATTTGATGCTGAAAAATTGCTTGCACTGATAAATCTGTTACTGCATTGAAACAATAGCTTAAATCCAAATGAACCAAATTCGGTAGACATTCTGCGAGTTTGATTATAGTCTGATCATCTACTAAACTCATTGAGGCCATTTTCAAACTTTTCAATGTTTTGTTTTGATTCTTGCATAAGCCATTTTGTACACCTTCTGATGTGACTGACTCACATTGAGAAAAATCCAGTTTCTCCAAAGATGTAAGTTTCCAAAAATTAGAAGCACCAAGATCCGTTATGGCTCGACAATTACGAACGCTGAGTTCCACTAACATCTTCAGTGAGTCACAAATACTGATAAGTGCTACGTCGGTGATCCGAGAACAACTGCTCAGGTCCAAAACTCGGAGGCTCTTTTGGTGTTGTGTCAGGGCCAAAATTCCAGAATTGCTGAGTTGATCGCAAGTGACTAGAGAGACACTTTCTAAATTGAGATTTGGTAAAGCTGCAACCTCTGTTAATGCAGTGCTGTCCACTAGGGTGCAGGTAAAATCAAGGCTCTTGATTGTCGGTGCTCTCTTGATTAAACATCTCAGCACATTACAGAATGTTAACACATTTTCTGAGGGAGCCTCCTCTTTTTCTAAGACATGACTAGAGTAAAATTTTTTGTATAAACCAGGATGAAATGATATTGGACAGACAGCTAAAGACAACATTTCAACATTTGGAGCGATGGCAATAAATCTATTGAAAAGTGCATCCGACAAATAACGATTAGTAACAATTTTAAGATTTTTTAACTTGGCCAGTCTGCCTGACAAAGCACTCAATGTTGCAGCATCATCAAATAGTCTTCCAGACATTAGCAGCTCACTGCAGCATTCTAATTCTAATGTTTCCAGATTTGGACAAGCCATCAGTATATTTACAAATTGTCTTTCAACAATATCACATCTATTAATTACTAAGGAATGAATTTCAGGACCCCTTTCTTCCCAAAAATTAGACATCTTCTGACATATTTCCAAATCTGTAAAGACGAAATGGTGATACAGTCTTGAACTGTTCCTGATGATAGTCAAAGGCGGCGCGTTGTCTTGAAGTGTGACATGGTCAAAAATGACCACTTGCCGCCAGACAAAACAAGGATCTAGAGACGCTTCTAACCACAGATGATTGACTAGTCCAGCACATTTTCGGTCAGAGTATGGTAAAAATTTCAAAATGTGAGTGATGACCTGAGAAAAAACAGAAAATATTGAAAAATGTAAAAACTTTTGTTGGTACCTAATGCTAAAAGTAGGATTTGGATAATTTACTAATGAATTAGTACGCTGTGTTCTTTGATATGCATTTGTGTTATGATGTGCAACTGAACCATCCACACATCATCGAGCATATCGGCGGTGTAAGTCGGCAATCACAAAACTCGTTTGCAGTGTCTAAAAATCTCCGCCTCTATGTTATTTTTTCAAAAGAGAACAAACTGACATCATTCCATGAAGTTTTTGCTGAATTTCCTTCGCACAGAGAAGAAAAATCACGGCAGTTTTGAAGAATTGCCATTGAGTAGTTTTCCGTTTAAAAAATAAAGTATGACAGGAAGTCTGCGACGTCGCAAACCGAGTTATATGCTTGCCGACTGACACCGTCGATATGATTCGATAAATTATGTTTTAAGCTTTGTCATACATAGGTCAGGCTGGTATATCGATGGTAAAACTGAAGAAATGCGTATCTCGGTTTGCAGCATTGCAGACTTCCTGTCATACTTGATCTTCTACATGGAAAACTACTGAATCATTCTTTAAAAATGTCAGTGATTTTTCTCCTCTTTATACATTTCTTTCTTTTCTTAGAAAACTTCAAGCCATATGTAATGTTGATTTGGCCTCCATGTCAAAAATAAAATATTAGGGGAGATTTGGAAATAGTACCGTGACCGAGATATGCATTTTTGCAGTTTCACCGTTGATTATGTTCTTATATATTAGTATATGAACACATAAAAAATAAGGCTTGCAAGCAACATCACTGCTAAAGTCCAAGAACGATCGATGAATGACCGAGGGTAATGTGACGCTAATTGTGCCTACAAATACCAAAGCCAACTGATAATGAAAGTCAAAAGGACTGTCAACTGTTAATTGGACGTTTTTATGCTGCGAGGAATAGGTTGTACACAAACCTAATGCACAGAGTTCCTTTTGGCATAAATACATCCACTCATCTGATGCAAGCTATGGATGCCCTCAATTTTTTTTTTTTTTTTTTTTTTTTTTTTTTTTCAGATGCTCTCAATACTACTACTTACCTAGATTTCATGAGAGATGAACGGTCCTATCCCCTCTCCTCCTTAAAAAATTCCTAGCCTCGTCACATGCATGCTTCCCAAACGATACGGTCATACAAAAGTGAGGATCTCGGTGGAATAAGGGCACTTATCGGGAAATGGCGTTTCAAGATACAAGCATGAAATTTTAACTTACTGATCTGTGCTATATACTGTAAGTACCTACCTAATGATTTATACATGCGGGTTTTCCCCTATTTTTTTTTAACATTAAGATTGATGATTATGCAAAACAAAGATATATTGATCAATTTAGTTGACCCACAAAAGTTCTAGAAAATGGCACAAAAACTTAAGAGCAAAGTACGCAAGAATAAAATTATTCTTGCGTTTTATGATTTCTTTGACGAAATTTATCTTAAAATATTGCTTATTTAAGCAATTCTTGTCAAAATTTATTTCACTCAGGAGCTCCAAAAATTCATTCAATGACCATTCAGGAGCCTCTTATGTTGCCAACTTATTCACAGCTTGAAGGATTTTTACATTTTAATTTGTGTCGAATATCTTTACACCTCAAAGTAAGAAAATTACTGAAAAAAGTAGAAAAAGTTTTCATTCTACTAGCACTACTTACATTTTCAACTTGTCTTCGCCTTGTGCCCATGTCTCATGCTTGTCCGCTCAGCCCTCTGCATAGAGCCCGTTTCAAATGTTCAAAGTGGAGCTGTCAAAGTGGCGCTGCGTGGGGTCACATGACTCTCAAAGATTGTCTGGCCGACAATCTTTGGGGGCAATTGAGGGTCACGTGACGCCACTATGAGAGCTCTACTTAGATCGTAGAATATGGGCTCAGAAGTAAACAGATGGAGATACCATAGAACAGAAATTTCCCCTGTCTCATATGAGTATCCAATCTATCTTGAATTTTCCATGGACTTTCTTCAAAATATGAGGAAAATTTTAGGGCTTTTTTTAGGTAATGTAGCACTACCTCAAAAGTTCCCTTATCTTATTCCACCCAGGTCCTCAATATTCACTAAAATACTTATTCTCAAGCTAGCTTCTTCAAACTAAATGAAACAGTTCTTTCAACAGGACACGAGGCTAGTTTGTGCGAGAGGTGACTTCGATCCATGAAGCAACAAATCACTTCATGCTTTCAAAGACTGCTAATCAGATGGTGATCTCACTGATCTGAAACAATCATTCCATAATCTGATTGGAGTCAAGTCTCAAGAAACACCTCTACGAACTTGGAGACCTTATATTTTCTGGAAGCAGGGTTTGTGGAGACCTTTAAAATTGTTCATCCAGTAAATTATGGTAGTGTTTTTTTATGTTCATAAAAAAATACAGGAAAGGCACAGTAAGTTGTTAAAAGTGAAACCTAATTAAAGATTAAAAACCTGGTAATTTCCATACCTCCACTGGCAAGGCTGGTAACTCGGGTGGTTCTAGGCACAAGTCATTATGTGATTCCTTCGATTGTGGCACTAACTCATTATCTGGCATGATGGTGGGAATTTAGAAAAACGTCATTACTTAAAAAACATTGAAATAAGTAAATAATTCAATATTGGGACAAGCAATTTCACAGACAATTGCACAGACCCATTCTCTAATATTTTGATATTTGATATCGTTATCAGATACTTTTTGGACTGATCAGCTGATTGATATGGTAAATCACTAACGGCATCTGTGTGACATTTGCTCAAAGTAGATTTCGTTCATATTCTTACAGAGCGCGCTTCCTGTTTCTCATTCGGCGTTTGAGTTTAGCAGAGATTCCTTCTTGGCTTAGAAGGTTAGGGATGACAAAAATCCTGCCGCAGATCATCAGTAAGCAAGAGCGTTTCACCGATGCGTCTCTACTCTCAGCTCTAGTGGAGAAAGAAAGAACTTTATTTGCCTTATGTGCTGGCAAATTCGCCATGTCAATACCAGTCGGCATAGCTAAGCGGTAAGACATTCGCCCTGTGACCCGAACGTTCACGGTTCGCGCCCGCGCGGTGAAAATATTTTAACGCCTTGATCATATTTATAAATGCCGCGTAGGGCATCGCAGGGTTATTTTTTCCAAAAAATCTGAGTGAGGATTGCATTTTGATTGAAACGTAATCGAAAAGGGCTCCTCTTGCTTCAGAGAAACTTCTGAACCCAAGGTCCAGGGCAGAGTTAAGAAATTTCATGAAAGATTACAAAAAGAAATTTCATAAGGAAATTTCAAGAAATTTTATGAGGAAATTTCATGAAATTTCTTGTGAAATTTCAAGAATTTCATACGATGAAATTCCTTTAGCAACTCTGGTCCAGGGTCCCTGTATGAGGGTATACAGTAGTATACAGGGGCCGTCCAATAAACTTGTTTTTTCTTGGAGGAAAAAGCAGACTCCAGACAGGAATTAATGTAGCATAGTGTTCAGTTAACATCCTTTAGTATAAATTACGTAAGACCTTTTCCCCATTTTTTAACCCCCATACTTCTCCTTGTGCAGCACCGTAAGGCATCCCTTAACCCCCCCCCCAAATTACGTAAGTCTCGACTAACCCCCCCCCCTTTTTTCAGTTATCGTAGATCGAAGCATGACGTTTCCCTTTAGAACACAATGAAATTTTTAAGCCACAATTTTTTTATGTGAAACCAAATTTCTGGAGTAAGTTCACAGGCAAGATTCATGATATAATTAGTTTAATAAACAAAAATATGGAGCAAAATTGAAGATTCTTTTGGCCTTGGGAGTAAATAGTTAAAAGTATAAAGTTGACGTGAGGATGAAGTCACTACTCATCATCGTGAGAATGAGTGGAGAAGTGGGAATCAAGAGAAATGATAGGGCATGGTTCGATCGGCCAGCAATCGGTGGTTTCCTGATTTCCTCTATTTCATCTTGAATTTTATTATCAACCTGACGAAATATGGATTTTTGCATTTCCTTGAAATATAGGCTAAAAAGTTGACGTAAGGCTCAGCCGTACCCTCTCCTCCCCCCTCGTAAGGCAACGAAAGGCTGTTATAGACCCCCTCCCCCTCCCCATGAGAGCCTTAAGTAATTTATGAACGGCCCCTTATTTAAATTTTTGGTATTCCTTATGGTCTTTATTACTTAAAATTCCTAATCATATAGATAATAGAAGAGAAATCATGCAGATTTTCCTTTAAAAAAAAAGAGCGTTTAATTTGGTTTGAATTTAAAAGATTCCTGCTTGGCCCGAGGCCCGAAAGGCGAGGGTTGACAAAAATCCTGCGGCGCGTGGGGAGTGCAGTGAGTCTGCAGAAAGGAAACATCGATGCTCCCGATTGCGCACCAGACAGTTTGCGATGGAAATTCGGCAGGATTTTTGTCATCCCTGCCTTCCGAGCTCAAGGAAGGAATCTCTGCTGAACAGTCGACTCTTCTCATTCTACACTTAGGTTATGTTATTGTTATTGTCTCTTGATAAATGATAGCATGGTGATGTTCCATGAATTGGAATTTATTTCTCTAAAATTATGATGTAAATTTTATTATTTCATTTTTTTTCAATGTCACGGTAAAGTTTCCAACCATGTTTAGTCTTATTCAGAAGCTTTTCTATGTGTGTCCTCATGTCAGTGCCCAGAAATTATTACTATCATGTGAGAGGAAAAGTTTGCGTGCATCGTGTAAAAGTCTAATACATTTAAGTGGAAAATCTTACTCTTCCAAAACTAGTGATCTCGAAAATTGTAATGTTGGAACGGTAGGCCATGTTGATCATGGTAAAACTACGCTTACATCTGCTCTAACCAAATATGCATCCAAAAAAGGCCTTGCCAATTATGTGGCGTACGATCAGATTGATCAAGCTCCCGCCGAGAAAGCTAGAGGTATAACTATTAACATAGCTCATGTTGGATATCGTACTGAGAAAAGACTTTACTCTCACACGGATTGTCCAGGACATGCGGATTTTGTAAAAAATATGATTTCCGGTGCTTCACAAATGGATGGTGCCATCGTTGTAGTTGCAGCAACAGATGGTCAAATGCCTCAGACTAAAGAGCATTTATTCTTGTGCAAACAAATCGGTGTCTTAGACTTAATAGTATTTATCAATAAGGCAGATCTCGTTGACTCTGACATGTTGGAATTAGTCGAGCTCGAGATGGGAGAGCTTTTAGTTGAATTTGGTTTCAGTGATAAAACACCAATGATACGAGGGTCAGCTTTGCGGGCTCTAGAGGAGGACACCTCTGAGCTAGGGGAGCCAAGTATTCAGAAGTTACTAGATACAATGGATAATTATTTTAAAGTACCAGAAAGGAAAGTAGATGCTCCTTTTCTAATGCCGATTGATAATGCTCTCTTGGTGCCTGGCCGAGGAGCTGTTCTCATTGGTACAATTTTGCAAGGTAACATTAAGAAAAATGAACCTCTTCTCTTAGTTGGTTTTGGTGAAACTTTAAGCACAACATTCTCAGACATACAAGTTTTTAAGCAGTCTGTAAATTCCGCTGCCGCAGGAGACCACATCGGAGCTCTATGTAGAGGCATTAAAGCTAAGAATGTTAAGAAAGGCATGACTCTGTGTAAAGAAAAATCAGGTTTACCAATAACCAATGTATATCATGCTAGTTTATACTTGTTGACGGAGAAGGAAGGCGGGCGTACTAAACCTATTAAGTGTAAATTTGCCGCCAATATATTCTGTCATACTTGGAATTGTCATGCAAGGATCGACTTTCCACCTGAAAAGGAGTTTTTGATGCCCGGAGATTACGCTACCGTCCGCTTAACGTTAATGTACAATATGATCATGCCCGTGGGTACCACTTTCGCTTTTCGAGAGAGAGGTTGTACAGTTGCAACAGGGAAAATAACTAAAACTTTGGATCCAGTGCATGTCCCCAAACTGAATTTAGGAAATTTGAAGATATCTGTAGAGGCCTCAGAATTTTAAGATGATTTTCTCATGTAACCATAACTAGTATCTTTCAATGTTTACCCATGATTAACCCTGGGCAGGAGAAATGGACAATTCCATATCATTTTTTCCAAGTTTGTCTCTGTTTAATTTTTTCTTCTTATATGTTGAATTGAATGGACCACTAGAGGTACGAATTTCAGCATTCTGATACATGTTTCTCAACCGAAATTTCACGTAGAACTTGATGCGCACAACAAAAATCACTGAAATCAACTCCTTACAAAGATATTTAATGATTCTTAATACGTGAATTCAAACCACCCGCTTATGAAAACTCAATGCTCTACGTGATTCACATCGCGCGCTAAATGTTATCATGACAGTCTCTTCGATATAAAAATCTGACAACCTCAATCTTGACGCTTTGGTTCAGTTACAGCAAATTGCTTATAGTTTGAACAACACATGGTGGGAAATGAAGTCTGCTCGATTGAGAGGCTCGCTGAAACCATTGTGGTGCGTGTTTTGACTCTTGTAGAGCTTTGAGTTTCTTGTGAGCGGGCCTTTCAAATTCCTCGTAACCAATGTGAAATAAAAACGTTAATATCTTCGTTAGGAGTTGATTTCAGTAATTTTCGTTGCGCGAATCGTGTTCACACATTCTGGTTAGGAAAAATGTATTAGAATGCCTAAATTCGTACTTTGTCTAGTGATCCATTATGACACTACCATGATGAACTCCTCAGTTTGAATCATAAATTAAGCGTCGTAATATTTATTTAACCAGTTACTTGGGATGTATCATACATCTCTCCGAAAAATTTCTTAGCCATTACAGAAATCATGTGGAATAAGTCTGAAACTAACTCCAAATCTCACCTTACTCTTCTTAAGCTGAACTTGAGTGGCCTTCGAAAAATAGGTTGATTTGTATACTTCCTACCAGCTGAGTGCGCTGTCTAGCGACTATATTCTGCGATAATCAGGTGGCCATGATTTGGTCAATTCTCAACTTCCGCTTACATCATGCGAATTAAAAATATGTTTAATTATTAACGTCATAAATTGTAATTATTGCAGCCACTATTAGAGCTGAGCATGAGAGGCATCTAAGAAGACTTGGAGTTAAAGTTAGACTTGAATAATTTATTTTGTATTTCAAAGAACTCCTTTTTGTCTCCTGTCTCACTGTACCTACATATTGTGTCCTCAAAAAGTTCATAAACCGATTCTCACGATTTCATTATGTTTAAGTCCAACATTAAGAATGTATCACTTTTTCTATGCACATAACTTGTAAAGGAAAACAGCCACCGAGCTGAGAACACAAATATGGGAAGACCCTCTCTTTTCACTCATTTCCTATTTAATGGTAATTCAGATCTTTCTTGAAGAATCTTATGTACAAGTGAAACAGTAATCTTAAAGAGTGCCAATCTCAGGTTGTGTTAGTAATATGTGATGGGATTTATTGAGATAAAAAGGAGGAGAAAATAAATTCCCTTTTTCTTTTTTACCTTTAGAGGTTGTCTTCAGAAGAAGTGAATGTCAAATCTGAGCAACCTGACCATTTTGTGAACGTGTGAATACACTTGGCAGATTGTATAATTAGGTATCATTTCATGCTCCTGATAGTTTCTGCATAAAAATATGTGAAACCCCTCCTTCTTTAACAGTCTTCAAAATTCGCAGCCGAAGAGCAATAGGAAACTCTCTGAATAAGTTGATCAAATATATTAGTATTACGTATTGTCTGTGGTAACGAACATGTCCCTTTTAACTGAAGTAACTTGGCAAACTGTGAACTGTCAGCTCAATGAACCAATTTTATCGCAGTTGAAACTGGTTCAACAAAATAAAAAATGAGATGACTTGAATTGACAGTATTTCAGTTTGTCTGGCCTGAGTTGGACAAAGCGTTAGGCATTATCTCGATGCTTGTGACTCTTAAGCTGTAACAAATGATAATACATGAGGATATGAAGGAGGACTATGAGCTTATTAGTACAGACTTGATGAGTTTTACAAGAATTGACAAAATTAATTTACTATCACTGAAGACATTTTGAAAATACCATGAAAAATTTAATCCTAACCGAAATGATCTAAATTGTTGAGGCAATATTTATTTTTGTCACTTGTGTTATTACATTTTTTTTAAAAATAAATTTGAAAAATTAATTTATAAGTTGGTGGGTTCATTGTCCCTTCATCCCTTCTTTCTGACCGAGTTTTTAATGAATGAATTATAATCATTCTCATTTTCAGTGATAGTTAACAAAATGAAAATGTAACTATAAGACATGTCATAAAGAATTAAAAAGATAAATTTGTGTTTGGCTTTGGGGTCATTCAAAATTTTGGCCACAATATTGCAAAAAAAGGACACGGTTTATAGTTTTACAATGATGTATTAATTATAATTTTTACAAAAGGAAAATAACCAATGAGTTTAAAACAAGTAAATAAATAAGTAGTAGAAATAAATTAGAGCAAAAAAATCAATGACGATGGCAAACAATAATAATTCTTAAGTTAGTCCTAGATACAGATTTATGGTCAAATTGGCAAGACCTCGATGAAAAAGTGAATAATAAATGCCAAAGACAAATTAAATAGGCAATGAACCGAAATTTTTTGATCCTAAAAAACACAAAACATTAAGAAGGACAATTCGTTTATTCTAGGGAGAAGATCCTCAAGTTGGGGAGGGAGGGGGTGGGAGAAGTAGAATTATGTAAAAGTATTAAAATAAAGAAAATCACAACCAGAATGATGTACCTAGTCATAAAGTGTCTTTTGATGGAGGAAGTTTAACAATTTTCATCACTTGGGACTGGAAAAACTCGTTACAGAAGCTGTACTGCTAGATAAAACCTTTCATTTCCTATAAATACCTTTGAGTCAAAATATTCTTGAATATTTTCAGAGCAGCCTTTTTTTAAATTTGAAAATTTTCTGTGTTGCGAACAATCTGAAAGACTGAGAAATTCTTGATCTGCGGTCGCATTATAGCTGAAACTTATCTTAAGCAAGGATACTTAAGAGATGCCTTAGACATGAAAGAAAAAATGACTCAGCCTTGAGAGGGAGCTCTGAAGTATTTGAGAGCCAGACAATATTCCTATGCTACCCTTACAGCTATGTACGTTTTCAGCAGGAGATTGTGTTAGAAGTTTTTAAATGGAAAAATAGCTAAAATTCAACAGTCATGAGGTGCAAAAGCGAGTGCAAATATTAACAATCTGATTTCTTGGAACTCGGACTCTTGAGAAATCATGGGCTAGACACCCTGTTGTGTCCCCATGAGCAGTCCTGTCCTTTCAAAAAAGATATGAAACATTTGAATTCTTCGAGAAATCCTTCAACAGGGCAACAGGGGCATGAGCCCAATGTCCTGTTCCAGAATAGTTGGAGCATTTTATCCAAATACTTGTAACCAGGGAGACCAATAGGTCCAAGAAGTTCAGAAAACTTCATTCCTTGATTTACAGGTAACTGGAAAAAAGAGAAACAAAACTTTTGCAAATAAAACCTGCAAAGGTCATAACGACATTTCTGTACCTTTTCGGAAATTTTTTTGTAAGGAAAGAAAACAAAAAGAAAGAATTTCCCGTGAATTTACCCCAAATTTACCGTTTGGCAGCAGGAAAAATCGACGGAAACCGGTATGTATCAGCAGGTTTTATAGTATTCATCAGTTTTTGCTTCACATGAGTGAAATTTAGGTTAGTTTAACTTTGGAATTTACGAATCATTTTACAGGCTTTCACCGCAGAGGCTTTGAGTTTATTCAACTAATTGAAGTAATTCTTCGAGAATTTGCTCAAGAAAAAAAGACAGGCAGCAAATGCGTCAGACAACAATGAAAAAAATAGCATCAAAATTGATAAATTCCAATTGAGCCCAGTGCCTCAAAAAATCTGCCCTATCTTAGGACAAGCTATGGAGCAATCACAATTGGAGATATTATTGTACTTACTCAAACACTATAAAAAATTACGGATATTATACATCCCTCGATCTACAAAATTGCACAGAAAAATGATGAGATAAAATGATAATGATATATGTATAAAAAAAAATACAGCCTTATTAAAAACTTAAACTATAGTTCATCTATTCAAATAGCTTACATAAAATAAATACTGATTCGGAATTATTAGCTAATAATAAAACTTGTACTGGATGAAATATTATGGATTCACACTCAATTATTGTTGACAGAGTCTACTTATTATTCTATGAGAAAGTCACAGGAATTGAGACAAAATTGAGCCATTACTTAAAGTTTCAATGTCAATGGTATATTGTCATTCAAAAAATTCATAGATCTTACCTGAAGAATGGAATTTTATGAAGAGACAAATTTAAATCATTCTTCTCGGACTTTAAAAGCATGAGTAGTCTTAAAATCTTAGTGGAACCATTAGTTATATTTGATTATTTCATGTTAAAAACAAATTTGTAAAGACTAAAGCAGTCTAGAAATGCGTGAGTAAATTTGTTCAATTGTTAATTTACAATAATAATAAAAAAAAGCATGAGTGCTCACACTGAAAAAATAAAGATAATTTGATGAGGAAAGTCACTGAACTTCCCTCACATTTCATCGAGCTTGCAAACTTCATAATTTGAATGGGAGTGATAATTATTTAACATTTGTTTTAACAATTGACTGAACCAATAGTTTGAAATTTATAGGAAATTCAGTAAAATAGCATTATTCGAACTAAAGTTTTTAAATAAAATTTACGACCATCTTCGAATAAAAATCTTACATTATTAATCTCAGAAGGAATCAGTGAAAAGAAATACTTGATCTCAAATTATAATGCAATACCTTCTGTCACACAAAAAAAAATGAATTGAGAAAAATTGCACAATTTCTTTACGAAAAGCTAGATAGAAATTCATACTACAAATCTGAATCTTGGTTTTATAACTCAATCAGTAAGTTTTCGATGTAACTCAAATTTAAACACAGCATTCTGACAGTGTAAAAATTTAAAAACAATTGTTAAGGGCAATAAAAATTCTAAAACATAATTGTAAAACGTGTTAAGCATGAAACTGACGTACCATTATCTGGAACTGATTAACTGCATGAATAAAATTTTTAACACTCACTCAATTTGAGTTGACTGTTAAAGCCATGCATTCTGAACGACACATCTAGATTTTCTATAAAAACACTTAATCAAATTCTTGCACCATATTGATCATTTGGGTAAAAAGAGAGAAAGAAAAAGAACCAGAACACGAATGCATGTCACAACTATTAATCTTGGGAATCCTCCAAAACTTCATCATGAGTAGATCATTAAAGTTGGATATTAGATTTAGCTTCATTAGTCATAGTCAAAGAGTGAAAAATGAATGCTTCAAATTTGCCCCCTTACACACACTTATTTACAAAAAGGTCCCGAATCGTTTATAAACCAGTTAATATTTGGCTATATTTTTAAAACAATTATAAGATTATAAAAGTAAAATAATGACTAGCAAAAACTTAATTAAAATAATTTCAATGAACAGATCAAGCGGCTTTCTTCCTTGAAAAACTTAGGGACTACGATAATCACTTACATTTAGGCGCACAGAAATTGGACTACATTCTGCAAAATTTACTTTCTCTGGCTTGCTGTAGAAAGAACACATGTACCATTAGTTTTCCTTGGCAGATGGGTGATTTTATGGATAACTCAGAAATAGTAGTTCTTGATTGCAAAATGTAGTCCAATTTCATCATAATATTAAAGTCATTGGAGAGAAACCTCACAGCATAACAAAGAAGTGATTAAACCAAGATTAACAAAAACACAACAAGTCAAATTTCGGAAAAAAATGAGGTCAGCATTGTTTAAAATTTAACTAACCATACATCATCTCCTGTCAAAGATTCAAAATTACAAAAAAATACTTTCATCGTGAAAATAGTCGTTATACTTTGTCTTGAGCATTGATTCTTATGATGGAATAGAACTTCAAACTTCTTTCAATCACTTCAAATTTAATGCAACTTGGTGTGTTTCTGTTGAACTTGGTCCAGTTTTGATCTTAATGAAAAATTGAAAATACACCAGACTCAAGATGAACTGGGCTGCGTTTAGCAGAAAAGAACCAAGCCATATTAGCTATAGCCAAATGTAACTTGGCAATTTACTTTTTTACATGACAACGTTTCCATGGATTCTTTTGAAAATGTTAAGGTGAATCCAGGCTTCGAACTTCGCGATTCGGCCACCACGTCGCGCTACTCAGAATAGCCAAATTAATAAAAAAACCGTAATACTTATTCAAGATCCAGGGGATATAGCAACATACTTGAGGAATACTCAGTAACAAAATATTCTCAAAATTTCCAAAAATAAAGTCGTAACTATGGCGGAGAGTAATTCACATTGCGGCAATGGGAGAGAGAGAGACAGAACATGAGGGATTCCGTTGAGCGCTCAGCCGCCGCCGCTGAGCTGTAAGTTTCAGCCGTGCTTTCTCAGAGCTTGCAATTCTAATTGTCAATATTTTTGCCTCAAAAAATCAAGCAAAAAATAATCTACATCTTGTGGATCTGCTTTTTGTAATTTGATCAATATTATTTCAGTAATCATCGAAGAAAAGTGAAATTCTTAGTGGTGACTGGTGGCACTATCTCTGATCTTGAATTATCCCTAATCGAACCCTGGATTCACCTTGAGGAATTTGTTTCGTACTGGGCAATTTTACTGAAATTTGCACAACCGTTTTCATGTAAATTATTGAATTACCCAACTAAACTTGGCAATAGCTGATGTGGCTTGGTTCCTGTTTGCTTAGTGCAGTTCAACGGTCGTTTGAAATCAGCACACACATCCTCATAAATGACCATTCTTGAGAAAAGGACTCAAAAGTTGAGACTTTAGCACCCCTGTTTAGAGGCCATACAAGAACATTTAGGCATTAAAATGGACAAATAGTTCCAACCAAATAGAGTTAGAACCGTTTAAAAGATGTGAGGAAATTCTGATTAAAGCTTCAATTGGCAATTATTGGGGTTCAAAATCATCATATTAAAACACGACTTTCCATGTACATTATTCTGTGGGATACTAGAGAATGTTATCTGTCAGAACCTCGAATTCGGATTTTAAGACTCAACTTGACAAATATTGCTCGCCTTAAAAATTTGCCTCTGTGCTCTAGGGTTTCTTTCCCCATGGATGATCGCGTAATGAGGGTGAAACTGTAGGAGCAAGTGACGGCAACTGCGATTGCTGAGTTTCAAAATTTTCGCTCATACTTCATTTTTAAAAAAATACTATAAAACATTTGGTACAAACATTTCTGAGAATATTATGAAAAGGCTAAAGAAAACTCACACAAAAATTTAAGTAATATAGTTACAGTAAAGACGTTGTGTGTGTAAGACGTTGATGTTACTGTAACATCGATCTATGTTCAATTAAGTAAGAGTTAACAAAACATCTGCAGTGTTGTGCAGATCAGAACACATGCTTTAATACTTTCAATAACAATATACTTATGGTGCGATTTGAAATAGTCATGGAAGCAATCTTCCAGAGTGTTATTGACAGACTTCAGGAATAAGAGTTCTCACTTTTCAAGATATTTCTACAGCAAGTTGAGAAAAATTCCCTGACTCTCGGAATCGGCAATTCATGGAGATGCACTTAAAAAATAAGCAATTTCTAGAATTTATTATTCTTTTCAATAAAGGCATAATACTCTGAAATTCTTATTTTGATGGGATTGAAAACTATCCGCATAGAAAAGAATGAGGCAAGAAGAGAAAATTTCAGTCTTTGCGATAAAATGTTGACACATTTTGGTGTGAAATTTGTAACTTTGACTAATTTCAGTTTTTCGCCAAATAAACACCTTGAATGGTAATGCGTGGATTCTCAAAAAAAAAAAAAGGTAGAAATTTAACAGTTGAAAATAGTTAAAAGGCGCTAATAATTTAGGTTTCTTTAGCTAATTTAAGAGGACAGACATCACTTTCAGGCTACAACTGTGAGTCCTACCTAAGAATAACAACCTTCAGTTAATAGCAGTCAAAAGTTCAAAAGCAAAACTGTAAAGCTTACTGTAAAATAAAATTGAAAGGATACACAGAAAATGAGATCAATGAGGAAAAAAATGCGATGAGTCCGTTGAGTGTGGAAAGAAGAATCTACTATGCCGAATCCGATGAATAAAATACAATAAAGATTGTAATATTTTGCAACTTAGTTTTCACTTCCCTCCTACAAGAAAAGAGGGGGGGATTGATGTGGTATGTGTTGAAATTTTCACAGAATTTCCTTTAATTTTTAATGTAATTCTTCTGACCAAAAGTTAAGCAACATTGGAATGCACTGGACCTTACAATTTCTTTCAAAAATTGGTAACCTCCTCCCTATTACCAAAAAAATATCGAGGGGCTAATATTAATGTGAAACAATTTTTTATGACAGTATGAGATGCAATGCTTCAGAGATTAAAGAAAGAGTATGGCGATGCTGCTATAATTCATATAAAATTTTACAAGTACTTCGGCTCTTTGTTCAATAAAAAGAGCAAAATAAAGGTTCTGCAACGGACAGCCTCTTTCAGAACAGAACAAAAAATTTTCAAAAGAAGGAAAATTGATCAAAAAGCAGTAATGAATTTCAGGAACAAAAGAAACTCATTTGGGGGTACTCACAAGAAAATTTTGTTATTGACCCAAATTTTGAAAAATCTTACTTCTCTTATATATAATTCTTGTAACTCTTCAAGGAAATGATCATTTTATAGCTTGGATTATGCTCAAATGGAGAAAATTCTCACGATTTCAATTCACCTTAGAATAAATAAGTTTTTACCTGCATAAAATATTTTACTAAATGTGGAAAAATAATTCTTTATTGCCTATTGACCAACCTCTCTGATCGTATGTCATTGAAACATTGTTAACCTTAAGAGCAACTTCTACATTATTTTTAAGAAAATAGCTATAAATTGTGCAGAGAAACTTTTAAAAAAATTTCCCCGCTATACTTACACATATTAAGGATTTATTAAATTAATGACTGGGTCTTTAATTATCACCACTTAGTAAATCTTGTACTCTGAAAAATCAGCAAGAATTAAACATGAGAGAAAGAAATCCTGCAAGATCGCTCTGGATTCATTTGCACAAGAGCAACAAACCCATTATTACTAACATTTTTCTGGGTAGCATTTGGCAACTTATGAAAAAGAGGATCTACATAGCCACTTGCACAACAACTTTCTACGTATTTTAGACGGAAATCAATCTAAAAATTAAATATTTTTTAATTCTACGTACAGCCTTCTTAAGCAGCAACACGAAAGGAAATAAGTGAAATCTGGGCTACAATATTTGCATGTAAAATAAATATAAGTGTACTTAAGAACAAGCAAAAAAAAATCTTTGGCAATGTATTAAGAGGTGATCAAAAATCAAATGAAAATTGATCAGAATCTACAAGTACAGAGGGGGGAAGGGACAAGATCTAGCAATAAAAAAACAAATGTAATATTCAAATGAAAATTACGGATATAAGATAATATAGAAAATTCTTTAAATTCTTGTTAAAAATTATTCTAACAATAAGTACACTGCCTTCCTACACACTACCTCTAATTAAAAATTTCACAAAATCTTGTACTAATGACTTGCATAACGAAGTATTTAAAAAGTTATCAACTTACTTTTTTTATATTTCCCTTTTTACTTATATATTCATAGGCGCTTTATACAACATGTACAAAAAGTTAAACAAAAAATCAAAGATCATACGAGAGATAAAGCTGATGAGTTCGTTGGCTACAGAGAAAGGTAAAAATTGAAAATTTACAATTTTTTCTTGTTTGATTCGAAGTGCATAACGGCAAGATGGATGAATCACATATTACAAAAAACAACCGACAACCAAATAGGCTGGGAAAATTCTCTTTCAGAATTTAAGTGAAAAATGTCTCCAAACTTCATAAAAAATTCTCTGACCTTCGTCAGTTTGATTTATTGTAATCGCATTGAAAAGGGAGCAGTTCTACCATTCATTTTAGGATTGCTTACGAATTCTCAGAGCTCTTCCAAAAAGTCACATTTTTCAAAATTCTTCATAATGATGGCTGAGAAAACTTTTGATAAAGAAAAATTGAGCACAAGAAGAATATTTTTGAGAAGAAAAAGGAAGCAGAGACAAGTGTGCATACCTTGCGACGAGTAACACTTCCAAAGTAGAAAGTAAAATAATTTGTATCTTTGAAAGTCTTTCCTTTTCCTTCTTATCTATTCTAGTTGAGGAACCAGTCGATTTCATGTCTTCAACTCTGTCAGTGCACTAAATTGAAAAATAAAAGAAAAAGAGAGAAAGATAATATAGGAAAAAAAGTACCCTACTAACAGACTTGACTTTTTTTGATGGCAATCCGACAAAATGGAGGGTTGTAATTTTAAAAAATAAATAGATACTAAAATTTTAAAAAGATGAAGTGATACAGACTTACTACGCATGAAATAAAAAATGAGGATTCAACTTTAAAATATTGGCAATTAGGCCGACTGCAGTAATAGGGCGTTGAGAAGAATTTTCTCAAAACTGTTTTCCAAGCAGATGATAATGATAAAATAATTATGCTCATATCGAAAAACTGGATAGAGAATGGAAAACACATCATGGCATCAGAGACAAAAAGCACTAAAACCTACTCTATTACTAGAACTTTAGCAACAAAGATTCAATAACAAAACAACTGGTGATTTGGCATCACAAGTCACTTAGGTGTATAGAAATTCACAAAGCAACTACTTCAGAGACATAAAGATCAGGGCCCGAATCTTGTTGGCAGAGTTGCGGTCGGCTGTAAGTTGAGGCAAGGACAGGGTGTCCACTAAAACAGGCTGACCAAAAATCAGTACTTTTACAGTACTTTCCCAAGAAATTCAGAACCTCCTCAACAGAAAAATTCAGTACTTTTTCAGTACCTTCAATTGACAAAATTCGGCAAAAATGAATTTCCTGATCAAATTGTGACAATAATGACAACAAAATTAAAAAATTCCAGACCTTCTTACGAAATTCCGCACTTTTTCAGCACTTCCGGACCACCCGTTAAAAATCAGTACTATTTCCGGACTTATAGACACCATGAAGGATGTTGACTTTGTTATTCGACCGCTGATTAATAGTTTGTACCATTGAGAAACTAAGGATTGCTCGACTCTGCTGTAAAAAAAGCTCAACTTGCTGACAGATTGAGTTTAGAATATAATTATTGCGGCTTAAAGTCAAATTTAAAGGTTAAGTTTCTTAACTTGCGGTCGACCGTAAACCAACAGGATTGGGGCCCAGTGGATGAAATTCATAGGTTGTAATGGACAGTTATCAGCAAAAAACATTCTTGGTAAGACAGTATGATGTGCATAGAGAAAATTAAGGGAAAAATGTGAACAAATAAATGAACAAAGTCCGAATTAAACAATGACACATTACTGGAGAGAGCTTAGTGATCTGAATAATGACTAAGGCCAGCTGGTCCGTAGCAACTAATTCGGCTTCTGAGCAGCTTCTAATGCCAAAGGAATTAAACTTCCATCAAGCTAAGTTTTTTCTCTTGATGGATGAACTTACAAGGGCGAGTTAGAGTGTCTTAAAATCGCAAGAAAAAAATGTCTTACTTTCTCAAGTCTTCCTGACAAATAGAAACAATGGTCCTCTGCACAAGGTATGAATTAAAACACTATGCAGCATGTTTTCTCTTCAACATTTCTGGAACATTTCTGTCAAGGAAAACGAATCACACGACAGGAAGTCAGGGAATCAACTTATGAAAAAGATTAGTGTTTACAATTCCCTTTTTTTAGCCTCATAAGACACTAACAATAAGATACAAACATGTTTTTTTTTTTTTCAAATTGTATTTCGTTTAAAACCCTAGCAGCGATTTGCTCTTTTAGTCACACCTGAAATTAGTCATGATGCACTCACTGATTTCATTTGAATACTTTCGGTCAACAAAAGAATCAACACAGCTGCATTATTATTGCAGATAAGTAATCCTTCAGTCCTCATTTTGCACTTTCGCAATACCTTGCTACAATGGTTACCCCATTATTGTTAGAAAATACATATACGCAACCTCTTGAGAAGACTCAGCATGAGTGCACACAGGGGTGCATAAAGTTTTTAGCCTTCCCATCATGAGAACTCCTGTTTCTTCAGAAAATTAAAAAAGATGACTTTTCTATGGATCGATTGTGATTTTGTTAAAAACATGTGCTTTTAATCGCGATTTGAGAGCTTTTCAATTTATAAACCCCATACTTAGGGGCTGTCCTATTTCCACATGCGACCGATTAGGACGCCTGGTCGCTTGGTCAAGAAGTTTTTCCGACACTGAGTGCTCATTCCAAATTTTCTGAGTCTGTAAAAATAATGCTTATCATGTCCAAATTTGTGGAGTTGGAGTACTTATTATTTCAGTCCCCTCTGATACAGAAAATATTTCTGACACTCAATTCAAAATAGAGGAGTATTTTGTGAAGGTTGTCTAATTTAAGAAAAAAAAAAAGAAAAAAACTTTAGATGTACAACTAACAAACAATGAGTAAAATCAAAATAAAGTTTTGAGGTTTTTTTTGTTTCTTTTTTTGTTTTGACTGCATCAAACTTTCACTGCCGATTGTATTATATGAAAGGATTTCATTTCTCATTGAAGGATTAATTTTCAAATTAACACTGCTGCTAAGTGCATTTAAGTGCTGCTTTTAATGAATGTGTCAAATTCATAGGAGCTTGGAAGTCAAAATTGATTATAAGAGAATACAGTAAACTGACTTCATGGGTCATACTTGGAGAGACAGGAAAAACTAAGAAACTCTCAGCCATTCATATAAAACTTTCAGTTTGTATAGGATTTTTGGGAAGTTTTTTAAGTTTTGGCCATTTTCCTTGAGCATTCTCCAATTCGTAGTTTTGAAAGATATTTTTAATTTTTTGCGCCCCACAGGATCCTGAAAAAATATACAGGGAAAAAGTCCTGCACCCCTGACTTTTAACAATGAATCCATTTAGCTTGAAGGGACAATAAATATTTTTAGATATTTGGTGAAATAATAATGTTCAAAATTGGAATTAGTAACATTGTTTTAACAATCAATCCATTAAAATTGAAAGTACAAGGAGTGTTAGCAGATATTAGGTAAATTAATGTTCCAATTTTGAATTGAATACTTGAGACTGAGGGCTAGAATTGCGTGACTAAATTGCTAAACATTTCTAACCTAATGGTTAAGCATCAGATTAACTTAAAAATATTTTACAATTTATAGAACAAAAAAAAAAAAAAAAAAAAAAAAACGAAACAAAACAAATAGCAAGACAGAGTGGCATTGATATTACATTAGTATTTACAGCCACTCTGTTGTACCTCATGTTTGAAGAGCAGTGAGCATTTCTTTATGAATCGTCATGAGTTCTTGAATTTGGTGAGCTAACTGATTATTCAGTGTCTCCAAAACACGTCTCTGTGACTCTTGTGCCTCCAGAGCCGTTTCTAATTGCGCTTGACCTAGGCTCACAGCAGCTTGGAGCTCTGCATTCTCTTGGGTAATCATCTGCAAAATGGGAAAATTGTATCAAGTATATTCACTCAAGGAGATGCAAGGTTTAATAACTCGGATAAATTTTCTCCATATAGGACTTAAAAGCTGCTGTGTTATAGTCACTGAGTTGATGATGAAATAGAGCAAGAAGACTTTAGTGGGAGAACAAATGTTTTTCTTCCTTATGCATAGCGACATGAAAATAACATGACTGTGATAATGAACTGACTGAGATTTTGGTGATGATGACTTGCTCAAAATATATAACGTTGCTTTACATCTGGATATGCTCTGAAAGAAGGGACAATAGAATTTTGAAAGACAGGTTTGTGGCATGTTTGTGTTGAGAGAATAGTTGAGAACAGTGAATGTCAGCCAAAATTTTTGAAAAAATCCTATTAATGAGATCTAGTGTGATATTTTGAGAACCGTATTTTAAAGGTTTCCAAAAAAGTAGATAAACTGCTGAGAAAAATATAAAGGAGGTTTTGAGGAGAAAAGAGATTTAAGGATCCCTATTCAGTAATTTAGGGTGGTTTTAAGCTGATTAGTTGAGTTGAACCCAGATCAAAGAATTATTAGTTGTGCGCAAATTGAATATTCAAAAAACCTTAAAAATTTATAAGTTTTTTAATAATAATCTCATTTTCGGCACTCTGGAACAATTTTTTAATTTCTATTTTGTACAAAGATTACAATTCAAATGTCTTTGGAGCTTAACCTGTTCAGACAATTGAGAATCCCTAAAAATTTGTGGTAGTTAAATGCAGTAAATGCATACCCCATTTGCAGCGTTCAAAAATCTCCGATTGTGTCTTACCTTCTTCGCGGAAAAATATCAAAATGTTCCCTTGCCATTTTGCATGTTTTTTTCACGATAAGTAGAAAAAATCTCCAGAAAATTTCATAAGAAACTTTTGATTAGTTTTCCCTTAAAAAAATAAAACATAAGCAGAGACTTTCTACTTACTAAACTGAGATAGACTTTTAGTCATCAATATGCTTGTATGGAGGAAAATTTTCGTGATTTCTATCCCTACTCTTATTACCATAGCAGTCACGACGATGTAGTTAAAATAAAAACCAAGAAAAAAAGTTCAATGAGAAACTCAAAGGGTAACTTGCCTTCAAGCGATCATCAGTTGGTTGTTTCTGCGCGTTAAGCCTTTTGATTTCATCTTCTTTAGATTTAATGTCTATGTCCATCGATTCACAACGCAATCGTAATGTTGCTAGTGTTTTCCGAAGTTCAACCGCAGCTTCAGTTCCACCTACATCACAAACAGATACAATTACTTACATTTCAGAGAGCGATGATCTTGTTTGTAAATGAATGACATGATATTATTTGTGGTCAATTTAGCCAAGTGTGGTGTAGTGGTTGTAGCGCTGGCTCTGTGAGCAGAAGGCCCCAGGTTCCGTTTCCTGCCAGGCGACCTGAGTATGACAGTCTCAGTGTTTGCCTGTTGATTGCGTATAGAGGGGGATGGAGCTTTACCTGCGGACGCAGGCTTACCCCTTTGGGTGTATTAGAGGTAACTAAAAAAATTGGTGATTGATGGAGAATTTAAAAGTTGAAGGCTCACTAGAAAAATTGTATAACATGTAAAACTTAAGGAAATAGTGAGGGTTAAATTCATAGGTATCTTAACAAGATACTTAACCGCTAGAGACGGTAGGATTAAGGTGTATTTCTCAACAAGGTTCATTAAAATATTTTTTTAGTGTATTCCTACAGTCACTTATTCAAATTGGACATTGGAATTGAGAGAGGTTGGTACACACTTATTTCTGTCATCAAAAAGCTTTAGCAGCAAGAAATCTGGAAGAGGGTATTTCTTACTCAAAATCATGCCCTCCTCCAAATTGAGGTTTTATTTTCTTGAACGTTATGGTTGAAATTTTGTATTTGTAGACCGGATAAAACAAGGTAAAGCAGATGAGACAAGATCATTGAAATGATATTGACTCTATGTGGCCGCTTTGTCATGTCGTGCAATTGACTGAGCGGAAAGCACAATTTTTGAAATCTGTGTCTTATCGCTGCATGTCATCGCATCGCAGAGACAAAACAGCACTAAAAAGCTAAAAGCGCCTCCGCAGCACCTGACAACCACTTAGTCAATGAATAAATTATTTTTGTATGATTCAGTGAAAAGTGAATTTATGAAGTGCAAAGGTGCAACTTATTACTTCAGATATGATTATAACAAAATCATATTTGAACAAGCCAATGAGCTAAAGCGATATAATTTGTAGAATGTTCACTCTCCCCTCTTTTGTTTCGTGCAAAGGAATCAAGGACTTGATTGACAGCCGATTAATGAAAACTTGGATTGTCATATTTTTAGTTGAGACCTTGTAAGTATCAATTTAAAAAAAACAACAGCCAAAAAATAAGAACAGGAAAATTAAAGAGACTACGCACCTTTTGAAGCTTCTAATTCAATAAATTTAGTTTTTAAACGGGTATTTTCTTCTTTATATGCCTGCAACTGTTTCTTCCATTCATCTACGTTTGCTGTACTCTCTTGTAAAGCACTTGTCAGCCTTAGGTTATTACTTTTTAAAGTTGCTAGTTCTACTTCCCATTTTTTAGCATTGGCAGAGCTAGTGTAAAAAGAAGTTAAACAAATATTATTTTCATTCAATTAAAACGAGGTACCTTCAAGAAATAGAAAGTTAAAAAACAACCGTATGACCTTCCACTTATGCAAGATACAAGTCAATACCCACACAGCCTCAAAATTTGTGAGATAATTTTGGTTTAAGTCAGAAAAGCTGACTTACTTTGAATTGTGTGGCACTTTTCAATATTTTGATGCTATTAGAGGTAAGACCCTGGTAAGACCCCAGTCCCACTTTCAATGTGACTGCTTACTTGCGTTTATTAAAATTTGATGGTAATATTACTGTACAAAAATTTTCTTAAATGAAATTATGAATTTCTCTCACCTGTGAGCCAAAGCTAATTTAAGTTGGTCGTTTTCGTACTTCAGTCGAGATTCATTTGAAGTGGCTGTCATGATGGGAGGCTTTGTTTCGCTCACCTGGTGTTTGGGACTTTCGCTTCCCTGTGATAAAATAGTGGAAAAAATCATTAACTATCTTTGTTAGAAGGTGGTTCGCTATCTAAAGGTGTATTTCAGAATTGAATAACCATAGCTACTAACTGCCGACTTGTTTTGTCTTACGGTATTAAATTTTTAAAATTAAAGTATTGATTCTTTCTAGGCACAATTTAGTGAACAGATTGTCAACACTTTTCTAACATTTATTTTTCATTTTATAAAAGTCTTTTTTTCGCTCTCAAATCTTCTTTCCATCCTATCATTCAGTCCATCTCCATTACTTTTTATCACTAGACTTACAACTGATAGGTACATAGATTATAGCCAGCCAATCACGCATAGACTTGTTATCTCGCCACCCGTGATGTCAGCAAGTCTATATAAGCATGCGCTGCGCCTAACTCGAGGTCCTTTTTATCCTAGACCCGTGTGTAAACACGTATCGCCTTTTTAGCCCTTCAGGCGTTTTCTCATCAAGTGTCAACTAGTGAAAGTGCGTCATAGTGTGGAAACTCGACGAACTTCTCATTTACTCTTATTCTCAATATTTAGTGCGACATTTCTGTTAAATTTCGGATTAATACAGTGATAAACTTTATTAATTCGCCTCTTTAATTTTCACTCCATTTGTCGTAGTTTGTTGATCCTACGTTAACAAAGATCAGCTGGTGCTGAAACGGTTATAATCTTTGAACTTTATTTCTATCACATCACCAATAAGAATAAGATGATGTCACAACCGACTCTTATTCATTACACAGATAAAGAGAAACACATAGAGGGAAACAGATAAAGAGAAACAGAGTTTCAGTCTTTTCATTTTTTTCTTCTTCAGAATTTTCTAGCACATTTATAACACTGCCGAACAAAACAAATTTTTCTTCAGATTTTCCAAAATTTAAAAAACTGCTTCTTCTTAGAGTTTCAGTGTTGATTCCGGTAAATTATTCTGACAGTAAAATTATTTTGGACGGCTGTAAATGTGAAACTAGGCCAATTTAGGTACACTTTTACACAGCTGCATCTATCGGAGCCATTTTGAATAAAATGGAGGACTCTAGGCTGCTGAATCATAAGTGAAAGCAATCAAGAATTTTACCTGAACTCCCGATAAAGACTGACTTCTCTGGTGCAAATTATTTCTTGTTGGGTCATTGGGATCTTCCATCATAGGTAACGATGGACTAGCGTTTGACTGCATGTTGGGTGGATCAATGAGGCACTGCTGCTGCATTGTCACTGAATCTGTGCCGGACGTTCTTGTTGTGATCGGACTTGCATTTGCACTCGTGACCGGAGTTGTACCTGAGTCATTTCCATTTCCATTAGCTGTGATTTTAGCAGCTGCCAATCTTGTCGTTTCTTTTAATTCGTGAAATTTCTCAATGAACTATGGGAAAATAAATACACCATTAGCGTGAATAATGATTTCCTGCTCAAAAATTTCTGAATTAGTACTTGAAATTTGAACTATTGTTAACAAACTCTGCAAAAAGGAATGAATGGTTTAACATGAAAATCTATTGCTTCAAATGAAATAGTTGGATGACCTCAGTTCATGGTATTTTTCCTCAAGTTTTACCTGAAAGTAAGAATTTACAGATGAAAATAAATTCAAAAGGGAGAAAATTTCATATAGTTATGTCATCGTGCAACACGATCATAGGATAACAAAAGGTACTCTGAAAATAATTTAAGTTGACCTGAATTAACTCGAGAGAAAAACATATAATAAGGATGGATTTTGAAAGAGAGGACAGTCAAAATTGTTTACCCTGTTTAGTTCGTTTTCTGATGAGAATCCGAGTCCATAAACAGTGTTAGCTCTAACATCCGACCACTGACCAAATTTCTGAGATGTTTTGGTAAATGTCATGTTGGGCGTAATGGTGCTATTGATGACCGCCTATAAAACATTAAAAACCATTGATATTCATTAAGGAATCATGAATCTGACGAAAGAGAGAAATTATTCATCTGTAACTTTATCTTTCATTTATTCTTGCATCATATCGATGGTCAATTCATTTATAAATGGACCGTGTTAAACAGAAAGGAACCAAGCCACATCAGCTATTGCCAGATTTAACAGGGACATTTTATTTTTTACAAGAGAACGTTAGTGCGGATTTCTTTAAACGTTTTCAGGAATTTGCTTCACACTGTGGAGAAATCCACTGAAATTTGCACAAAAACCCACATAACCGTTTTCATATAAAAAATTAAATTGCTCAATTAAATTTGGCGGTAGTTGCTGTGGCTAGGTTCCTTCATGTTTAACGCGGTCCAAATGAGCTTAGGTAACTTAATAATAGCCAAAAAAGCCAAATAACTGTCTAAGATGAATGAGTATTTTACTTTCTTTCACCTGAAGCTCAAAGCTATCCTCATGTTGGTGATTCTTTTTCAGTAATCTACATAGGTTTTATGTTTTCCTTAATTCAGTATTATTGTTGAATTTTTTTCTTCCTGATACTTTTTTTTATTATTACTTACCTATTATTTAAGTTTCCTTCATTGAGAAATTTACATTTGACATTACATGATAAAAGGCTTTAAATGTAAATTTCTCAATTAAGAAAACTTAAATAATAATAATAATAGAAAAAAAAGAAGTATCAGTAAGAAAAAATTCAACAATGATACTGAATTAACGAAAACATATCGTATCTTACTGATACTTGAATCAGTGAGAACACCAACTCAGAAAAATGAGAATAATCAAGACACACACGAAACTTCACAGTAGGTGAAGAAATTAGTTTCAGAAAAAGATTTTTGCTGCCAGAAGACAAGTACTTATGAACACTTTAAAGGTCCGAGTTGGAACAGATGCGCTAACTGCAATAACCTTTACATAAATTAACTGTCGTTAATGAAAATTGAGCATTTTCGAGTTACCCAGTTGGTGTGTTTTCGTTCTCACTGATTCAATTCAAAAAGCCTCAAGGTGACTTCAGGGAGGATTATCAGTGTGCCTTTCTTTCAGATAGGAAAAAGAAAACATGAGAAAGAAATATAATCATTCTTACTTTTGGTCCTTCCACACTGATGATTCGATAGAGGTTCCGACTTGAGTCATAAAAGAAAGACACATTGACTGCAGAGGCAGAGGCCGATATCCACGATCTTTTTGTTTTGGGATCAATGTGAAAAACATGAGCACGGCAAGTAAAGATAGGTTTCTCACTGAAAATTGACAAAATAGCCATAAGTAAAACATTCAACGAATATGAGACATGTTCTTCTAGGTTGTTTCATTGATATAATGTCCTTTCTCGACAGTATGCGTTGAAGATCAACGGTCAAATCATTTATTCATTAAACCATTAAGAAAATAGCTGATTTAAATAATTAGTAAAGAGCTGCCTGAAGACATGCGTTTGCATTGTTTTTTCTCAGTGTCGCTGATTTTTTACTTTGACGTTGAGGTAGGTGTACCTCCATCTTCATTCATTCCCAGACCTCTGATTAAAACTTATTTTAATGATGATGTAGGATAAAAACCACTTTGGACTAAAGAATTTAATGTTGTATAAGTTATAATATCGTCACCTTCCGGGCAAAGTTTCACAAGCGCCATGCGACGCTTCAAAATTTCCGCCGCCATTTTATTTTATTATAGAGAAATTGTTGGTTGAATCTGTTTGAACATTTCACTGAATTTTATCGGCATCGCAAAGAAAATTCAGTGAAATTTTCGGACAGCTTCGTTGAACAATTTCTCTGTAAAAAAATAAAACAGCGGCGGAATTTTTGAAACGTCGCATGGCGCTTGTGATACTTTGCCCGGAAGGTGACGATATGCAAAGGCATTTGATGAAACACTCAAAAGTACTTCTCAAATTGCCTTTGCATTTATCCAAGGGACACTTCAGGAGACACTTACTATTATTCATTTCAGCATTCAATAAAGTGCCTTACATAAAATTCCCGGTATGTAGACAGTAAGAAACAGAACTTCTCACCCGGCACAGTAAAGGAGAATTTTGAACTAGTTGGGGGACAAAATTGTCAGAGCAGGTTAGGAGGCGTTGTGAATGTAGACCACCCGCTAACCTACATCAGGTAATACCTTCTCTTATAAGAAGCAAATGTTAAAAAATTTACTGATCAGGTGAGTCAATCACACTGCTAGGGACAGGATGTCAAGATATCATTCACTTATTAGTTAAGGCCCATCATAACGTTTATTATTGATGTAATGGAAGTGAAAGCATCTCTAACTTTCCAAAAGTCAAATAGCTCGTTACGGCTAGCTCACATCCTTTGCTACAATCACATCCTATGTTCTACTCTGAAACTTGACCCAGAGGATGTGATATGCAAAGTTCTGTAGAAATCTAATGAAGGGCAGTTAGATTTACAGACAAACAGGCGATCTCTGTCTTCTATACAATGAATATGTCGATGCTGGGTCCTTAACCTACAAATACATTGATGACTCAGAAAATTTCATGTACCGTGCACGAAAATTTCTCTTTAGAACTATGGTATGATTACAAGCCGAATAAATTGCACTCCTAGGACACTTAAAAAAGCATAGTACAACTATAGATTCAAAAGTATTCAGGAGCAGTGCGCAGCGTTTAACGAGAGATGGTACTTCAATACCTCCTCTGCTGTCGATATGGGCTTACAAGAGGATCTAGAGCTGCCAACAATTAATGGTTTATAGATCAAGCTTTTCTCTGCTCTTGATTTGGCATAGCAGAGACTTTTCCAAGCCTTGCCAAAAAGAAATCTGGTCTGAAGAGACTGGTGAAACTTACCCAACTGTATCATTTCCCGAGGTCATGGTAGTAAAAGAACTAATTGGAGAATGTTCAGGGAAAAAAATTAAAAATTCTGATAAGAGCCAATGAATATTTCGGGGTTGGTGGGGTAAACTGGATTATCTGTGGTACACCAGTTACTGACGAGCAAATAAAAGGGGAAGCTTTCGAAAGTTTCGTCCGGTCGCAGACCGCACCAGAGACCGCACAAACTTCAACAAAAACATGAAAACGTAAGTTCAACTTTCACGAATCAGAATGTTTTCTGGCATGCTAGTACAAAACAAAAGGTGGAGACCAAGCTACGTCATACGTCATTGATCCGAAATACTATTGATATCGGTAAATATTGAATAGGTTCTGACAAAAAAAACTTGAGTAGAGAGGAATTTAAGTCCCTGTGCATTATCAGAAATGATGTAAAATTTATACAATGCAGCGTCAATCGTGGAGCCGTAAACTTTTTTGAAATGTTAAATTTTTCATGAATGGTGCCAATACTGCCAATGAAGTCCTCCTCCTTATTACCTACTTGGCACGCAAGTGGTATTCTTAACATTTGAAGGCGATTCTTGCCGGAGAGCTGGTTATTTTTTCTATGGTTTGTGTCAATTTCTGGCGAAAAAAAACCCTACTATCATCTAAAGGAGCATTTTTAACTTGGAATCGTAAAAAAAAACAAACCTGCTTGCTGGACACATTATCTTAAATTCAGGGGGTAGTTTAATGTTTTGATTTCGTAGCATTGGTTACAAATTGCATGAGCCAACTTTTTTTTCTCTGCCGCACTCCCTGGTAACACAGACCTATCTAAGTTGTACCTGAATTCCATTCCACCTTGTACATTACATTGAATATCGATGGCTAAAATGTGAAACTATGAATCTCTGTTTGCGAGTTTACAGATTTCCTGTCATAGTTCATTTTTCTTTTTGGAAAACTAGCCAACATAATTACTCGAAAACTTTGTCTTGATTTTTCTCCTCTCGTGGCAGAATTATTCTGTAAGTATAAATTTTAAGCTTTACAGTTGGCATACTTCTCTATAAAAATTTAAATAGGGGGGGGGGGATTTTTGAAACACCACAATGGAGATAGGTGGTTTTGAACTTTGGCCATCGATATGCATTGCTGCAACCCCCTTGTTCTGGCCTGGTTTTTCATATTTTTTAAAAGAATTCGGCCAAACATCTTTTCCTGTCTGAACCATGAAGCATTATCAATTGAAGTTAACAGAGACGGCAGACTTGAACTCCCTCTCCCAAAAGGATGTGTTTCTTACTTGACGAACAGGCCTCAAAGGCTCATCCTAAGCATTTTGTAACAGAATTGTTGCATTATACTGCAATATTGCAATAATTGTAAGATTCTTAAAAATTGTAAGCACTATTATTGTAATTTGTTCTTCACATTTGGCACAATCTTTCTTAAACGGGGGAAAAATTTGTGATTATGTTAGATTAGGAAGAATAGTGTCAAAATTTGAAGAATTTTTTTAAAAAGAGGGTTACTTTTATTGGGACACTTTTCTTTAAAAAAGCACCATTTTGAACAATGTTCTTGTAGTACTATTGTGATGTAATGTTATACATGTTACTTGGTATTCATAAATGAGGTGGTGGTTGGATAAAGGATAAAGGGCCTGAGCCCAACTCAAAGTCTTTTTCGGAAGAACAGTTCTTATAATTTGACAGCCACATGTACATGCACACAAATTTTTACAACCCTTCCTGCAAAATTGAGTAGGGTACTGAAATTCTTTTAACGATAAACCAGGTTTAAATTGACGATCTCACGAAATTTTCAATGTGTATCACTAGGAACGTGATTTCCTCACTCGCACCTTTCTTCCACTGATCTATTACCTCCAATAAAAGCGTGCATTATGTTTTCAGGGTTACTATATGGTATGAACGATTAGGTAATATTAATACAAAATTTAGAGAGGATAAGTTTTTCAATTTGCAGTTGTGCAGAATTTAGGACATACTAATGACTTTTTTTAATAGAAAACAAATTTTTGCCTTTGTTGAAACTTTAAGTGAAATTTGATTGTGTGTTCACCTGATGGAAACTCAAGATATTACAATGTAGGTGGTGCAACTCCACTATCCTGAGGGGGAAAATGAGAGAGAGGAGAAAAACAGAAAAAAACTAAGAGCACTTGAAAAATGAGAAACATGTGACAATTTTTTTTTAAAGTTAATCCTCGTTCTTTAAAAGGGTGCAAGAAAACAGGAAATGTTGAAATTTTTATGTTTCCTTAAGACAGGAATTGACATAATTCTAAGGTGATTTGTCTCTGTGGTCAAACTGCTTGGGATATATTGTTTCGATGAAGTAAAAAATCTTGAAAGGCATGATGATAAACAGTAAAGGATGATCAAAATTCAAATTTACTGCTCTCGTAGTCAAAAGTAAGACCTTCATTAGCAGGCAGTTTCTCTGTTGGAAAACAGAAAAGTATTACTTAAAACCGCGTACCTACACTCTCACAGATTACCCTGCTGCTGGTAAACTTGAGGCTCAAAGCGGGATGAAGGAAAAAAGAAGAATGGAAAAATCCAAAAGAGGGGAGAGAAATAGAAAATTTTGTAAAAATGTTTAATAGTTTTTTTTTTTTAAATAAATTACAATTATATACAAGTAGAATACCTACACTATTACTCATGATGTAATTGATGATTAGAGACAGATTTTTAGTTTCAATTAATCAAAGTATCTGATACACTGAGATCAAACAAGGGCCACAAAAATTTTAACAGCTGCTTTAACTATGTCACAAAATAGCTTCATTGAACTTTGCGATGACATTGTTTTGGGGAGGCTATTTCTGTCTGTCGAGAATAATGAAATAGATCAGCACTAAACTTTTTGAGGACAAAATCAAGCTGTAGTGAACTGACAGGGCACTCAAAAAATAAATTCAAAATGGTCTGACGAAAACTTCATTTCCCAAGTAATTACTTCTTTGACAACAGTCATCTTTTATTTTATCTTCGCTGGCAAACTTCAGCTCGCTCATTTAGCAAACTTAGTCCAACTCTAAGAATGCGTCAAGCTAGTTCTGCAGAAGTTTGTCCATGTAGACACGGACAACACACTACTTCACAATAGATATCACCTTTTATCATAAATAAAACTAAGATTGAAGAAACGATGGAATGCATTACCATAGGAGATGACATCATACACTGTTTTTTTTGAAAGCCAATGCTTCCATCAAGATAGATGTAGGAACTTGACATACTGAGAGAGTTTATTATTTTTGGGCTGAACTATACCTTTAACATCAAGAACAATTTCATGACAAGTTTCACAGACCAATTGTGAATTTTTTCATGATTACCATACATTTTTCATTTGATAGTACATTAGTTACTTTTTTAAATGAATAGATCGATTCAACAAAGAGAAAACATGAAATGAAAAGGAAAAAGGTGAAAGCCATGTTAGATTAAACAAACATCCTTGTTGCTGTGGCACCTATCATGAGCTGATGGTTTTTTTGTTCTTTTAAAATTGATAATACTAATGTGACATCAAGAATTTAAGAACCATTGATAATACTCTATCTAGTTTTGGGTATAATGGTGGAAGTTGAAAAATGGATGTTATTGGAGACATGGCATGAAAGAGGTTGTGCAGCGTCTGGAATAGATTCAAAGTATATTAACCACAATGCAAAAGTTTTATTAGATACACCTTTTAGGCTACGATGATTATCAAAAGAATTTTATGAAAGCATCAATGTTCGTTCAACTGAATAATAGAAAAAAAGGAACCGCTCATCTTTGAGAAGAAACAATAGAAATGAAATGAATGGACGAAGACAAATAATTTAGTCATTTAGGTTTTACTATGATTCAGCGGCCTCTTCTAACAAAATTTTACAGCTGTTAAAAAAACGGGTTGCAGTTGACAAAATGGGCAACACGACAATATGGTTGATCTTTGATTTTCAATAAAAAAATTAAGTGAAAAAAGTCAAAACATTTCGACAACAACAAAAACCAACGGACAATAAAACATTGCCAGGAGTTTCATCAAACCCAAAAACAAGTTTTTACGTGTAAAGAGTGATACACAGAATAGAACAGAAATTAAATTACTGAGCGCGGCTAAAAAATTGTTCTGGCATTCTGAGTGGTCAGTTAAAAAAACTGAACAGTTAGGAAACACATCAAAGTGAATTAAATACACATTGCATGATTTCTTACTTATTAGACCCACCTGCCTATAAAAAAAAATATTTAAAGAAGAGATAATCTTCTTGTCAGATCCAGAAAATTGTATTTATCGACTGTAATACTTCAAAATTAAAAATTGTTTTTGCAATTAATGGGAAACTTGATTAAAAATGTGATTATTAAGAATAGGTCTTCTTCACAAATTGCCTGTGATTGAATAGGGTACATTATTGTTAGCTTAGTTTTAAATATTTTTAAGCATGACTTAGTTAAAAATTGCACCAATAAAAAAACTGAGGTTAGCTTTTACTTGAATCCACTCAAAAAATATCTTTGATACAGTTTAAGTTTCTTGGGTTAAGTTCACAACGTTGAACAAATAGTTTATAGCCAGAGGAAATTAAGGATAAGAGGATTGACTGAAAGATTTTCAAGAAGCGGTAATTACATATATACAATTGCCTAAATTATTTTACAACAGTACAACTATTTACAACCTAAAACAATACATTACACCTTTCATTTAATCCAACGAAGAGAAAAAACAGAGTGATTAAAAAAACGATTTAAAAAGTTTTCAAGATTTTGTAGTAACAGATGAAGCCTTAAGCTTCATTTTTAGATATCATTATTTGAAAAACACTGATCCACAGAAAATTAGATTTAAGAGTGAAAAGAAAACTTTAAAAAATTTACTTGAAATTGGAAACTCTTCATTAGGAAGTGAGGGCTCAAAAAAAGCATCATGCATAGTTCTTAACAGAGAAGAGGGAAGAATTAATTAAACTAGACATGTTACCTTTGAAATCTTAGATTAAGTTCAGAGAAATTTATTTTTGCCATTAAGTCATTTCAGCGAAGAAACAAAACTTCAAAATTTAACACAGATCATGATGCAACATAATCTGTTGTTGCATATCACAGAAATAAAACTCCAGCTACATTTTGGCTGCCTCAATACAAGAGCAAGTAAGATAATTTTAACATTGAGATTCACAAATTTTGCCTAGTCCAGACCGGGATGGAGAAATTCATCACAGCTTTTCATTTCCAGGTGGAATAGATCACCTTTGTTAAAACTTATTTTCCTTTTAGTAGACAAAACAATGAGTACCTGCTCCTTTCATAATTATTGGAATGGTCATCACCTTTTTTCAAAGGGGGGAGAGAGATGATTCATTTCGATCTAGTTTGGAAAGAGCTGGATGATGCTATAGTTGTCTGTTCTACTTACTATGAAAGATAGAGGCATGGAAAAATTTTACACCTTCAAAATAAAGCTGGGAAAAATTTTGATCTTTTATCCTAATTGAAGCTTGAAGATTTATTGACCCTCTTTTTTTCTTAAGAAAAATTTGTTGAAAAGCTATGACAACAATTCTTTCAAGTCAACAAACTGAAGAGAACTTCAATCTTCCCCAGAGAGGAGAAAAACAAGTAGAATGTGACAGACACTTAAGTGTGAAATTATAATGAGGCATCCTCAAGACAGAGATACTTTTCTATTGACTGGAAAAAAAATATATCATGACGTAGGCAAAAATGCTTCATCTCTTGAAATCAATTTAAAAAAAATCTTTCAATAATTTTGGCATCTGGTGAAAGAGTTTTCACCAGACGATAACATAAATACACTCAAATTAGAGTGCTTTACTTATCAGCAAAAGTGTTTTGTGTTTAATCTCTGCTGTAGCGCTACATTTACTGATCAGAAAGTTGATGAAAAACGCCCACAAATTTTACCATGATTACTTTAATGTTTTTTCGTTGACAAAATGATTCATGTTCTTTTTTTAACTAAGCATATTGATGGACACCTTGAAGGTGCAATGAGAGAAGAAAGCAAATCTTGACGATTGCAAAAAAATAGAGAGTTGTGTGATCATCCATCTTGTAAAGAAATACTTTCTATTCAAAAAATGTTTTACATGTCTAAATTTCTTACAACACGTGACTTAGTTTATCTTAGAGTTTACAGAAGCGAATCTTGGCAGGTAGGAGGAAAGAGTAATGAAGGAGGCAGGAGATCACAAGGGCAAAAAGGCAGAGGAGAATCAGGATTATGTTTTAAAAAAAAGAAAAGAGCGGGGATATTTAGATAGGTACAAACAGATCACTTAAAATGAGCAGAGGCAAGGCTAAATTAAATTACAGTACGGCAAAAAGTTTTTTTTAAAAGAATAGGATCAATTACAACTGTTGTTAGGTGGCGGTAAAGAAAGCTATCTTCTTATAAATAGAACATAACTAATGTGAAAATTAAATTAATGACACACCCACCAGAGGAAAAAAACGATAACCACAAAATAATCTCAGATCCAGCGAGCCTGGAAAATTTGAACAAAAATGCAAACCAACTAGCAGAGGCAATACTGCTACCATTTACACAAACAAAATTGACACCAATTCCCATTGAAGTTGGGCATTCACTGAGATGCTTGCAATATTTTGAGCAAGTACCAGCAAAACAACTTCTTTGTGCATGTGGATGTTTACAAAAAAAGGACCACTTGACAAGGAACAAATTCAAGCTTTCTGATGAGTGTTTCTCTTTCAGATTTCATGTGGCACACGATTTGCACAACAAAAATTACTTAAATTCTAATCAAAATATTAACATTTTCTTTTGGTTGTACTGGTGATAGAAAATTCGAATTTCCCGTTCACAAGAAAAACAAGTAAGTACTTACGAAAATCAAATTGCGCACTAAAAATTTTTAAGCAGACTCCTAAATCGAGCGGTGCTTCTTCTGTGCCCTGCGTTGTTCAAAGTGTAAACAACACAGGAACGGCTGAGCTGAAGCACCAAGATTGAGTTTGCCATACTTTCATACCAAAGAGACTGTTATGCTAACGTTTAGTGTACAATTTAACTTCAGTAGATTAAGGTTTTTTCGTTAGTGGGAAGTTTGAATTTGTGCATTAAAAACATTAAATAGCTTGGCTAGGAGTTATTTTTAATAATTTTTGTTGCTCTAATCATATTCTGCTTGAAATTTTGATGAGATAATTTACACCATAATTCTTAAATTGGCACCTTGTCCAGTAGTCCAATGTGTTCTACACTTAGCTTCTTGTAGATAAGAGCTACCTAGCGCTGCCCTTCAAGGTTGATTTAAAATCGAGGCTAGAAAAGTCATCATCCATCGTCATAAGAACTTGGGAGAATTTTTTGCTGGATTCTGATTGGACATCGTGAAACAGAAGGGATCTATCTATGAAATGAGTTTTAAAAAACAATGAATAGACAATTATGAGGCTCCAGTATTTGTGTGGTTTTAGGAACTCTTTTGGTGCACAGACACCTTCTGCTTAGTGACATTCAATTGTGCATACGCTAACGAGCAAACCCTGATGAAGGCTAGACTAATTTATCCTGAGATTTACAATAAGAAACTACTATTTTTGACTCATCTCTAAAAGCACCGATCCACATCAGGAGACTGACGAAACAGACGTTCTTTTAAAACTGAGCCAGAAATAGTAGTTCCATGTTGCAAAATGAAGTCCAAATTTATTGAAGTAGCAACTAGTTTTGTCTACTCAAGGACAGGTAAACTAGCTATCAGTGAAAAAAAGTGTTTAGTGAATGAGAAGTTAGTAATTGGGCCTAAGCACAAATGTGTTGTTGCTAGAGAGACATTATTGCCATGGTGGCATTCCAAGATCTTACTAAGGCGTGAAAACTCATAAAAAGCAGGGCAGGAGGACGATAAATATTGCAATCACTATTATAGTGCTGTCGTAATAAGAATAAAAATCATTTGATGATTCTTTAACGCAGAATAGATTTTGGTCTCTAACTTATACATGCAAAATGGCACTTAGGCAGCATATGAAGTGACGATATGTTTAAAAATTTAAAAAAAAAAAAAAAGATAAGAAAGAAAGAAATTTCACGGTAGCCTATATTGATTGTGCAATTTTGACATGAATGCCACTTAGTTCTTGGGATTTTGAAACAAATTCTAATCCTATACTGTAGCACTGCAACATAAAAAACTGGTAATAAAACCTAATGATGAAAGGTAGGAGCACTCCAAACAGAGTGAATATTTAATTCTTGGCAGTTGACATTGTATTTGCGGTTTGGATTATATAAAAGGAAAGAGAGGTAAGAAAGGGATTTAAAAACTGACTGATAGCATTAAATTTCTTCAACTTAAATATTTACACTTCTATTAACAGTTAAAAAGAGGGTAGTCTTTACAAACTATATACAGATAATCCATTTTGATCAATTAAAATTAACTAATATCAAGATTACACCTAACATCAAATAACAAATGGATGCAAGCTTCTCAATGGAGCAAAAGCCATTCTTGTCGGCAGAGGTGATTTACAGTTTACTGTGATGTCAACAATTGAAGGAGCATCACAGAAACTTAAAACGAGTGAACAGGGGACTAATCATAGTGTTCCGGAGGATCATTCATTGCATTTGAAGAGAAACTAGGTTGAAGGGTGAGATGATTAGAGGGAGCTTGTTGGTTATTATTGGATGATGTTTCAGTGTAGTTAAGGAAATCCCAGATGAGAATTGTGTCGTCGTGCGAGGAACTCACTATCTGGAACTCGTCAAACTGTAGACGGAATACTCGCCCAGTGTGTTCCTGAGGAAACGATAAGAATGAATAAGTTACATTGAATAAAGTAAAATAAAACAAAATGATTACTGGCAATGTATTCATATTTTTTATAGTCGTAATTACAGCATACAAAATGTGCAATTGACACTTTAAACAACTTGTTGACGTTTCATGTAAAACAAAAGCTTGGAAAGCCAAGATGAGATTTCACTTTTACCTCAGGCAAAAAAGTTCTCTGACAAGACAATCCACACAAACAGAATACTTCGACCACAGGCACCCATTAAATAGAGAAAAAATTGATGTTCGCTACTAATTAGTAAAGGCTCCAAGATTTGAGCTATGTGGCCATAGGCTGTTACATGGTTTTGCTGGGCCTTACTGAAACTTTTTAGCACATTTTATTTCATTTGGGCGAAAGTTTGTGTTTTATTGAAATCTCTTTTCTTTTTGAGTGGGTCATTTCAACAGACATACCGCAAAGCTGTCTTCCCTATAATTACTTCTTCGTAGGCATACGTTTCATAAAAATACGCTGGATGCATAAATGATTTTCAAGTTTTGAAAGTGATTTATTGTTTGAACAGCAGCCAGACTCAAGCGCAAAACAATAATTAGAACGGTAAATGTTTAGCAAGCGCAGGACTGCTTAGGCAACAACATAGGTCATACTTTCAGGCCCTTTTTAGAACCTTCTGCAGAAATTGAAAGCTATCATGGAGGAGGAAGAGGTAACATTAAACTTAATTACCATTAAAGTCCGTAAACATAATGAAGAGGCAGGAGCTCTAGGATTAAGTGCCGCTACTAAATTCCAAACTTTAATTTTTCTGAAAAACAAAACAAAACAAAAATGTTGAGAAGGAATTGGAAAATGAGGTGGATAAAAATTCAGATTGAGCCTGACTATTCTGAAATAAAAAATCAACTCAATGAAATAAAACTTTCATCAACATTTTTCCTTCCCTGAGCACCATGCACCAAGTGCGCCTAAGAAGTAGAAAGGCTGGGCCATAGTGGTGTCTGAAAAAGTTGACGCACCCAGTCAATTTTTTCAAGCTCGCTGCAGCAAAGCAGTGGTATCGCTTTCAACACACAGTTGGCTGGCCGGCAGAAAATTTCATGTGCCATGATATATTGCAAAAAGTTAATTTGGCTCCTAAAATGCTGGCAGAAAGGCAGAACACTGCCTTTCATTCTTTTTTCTTTTTTTTACACGACTAATACACGTGAGCCGTTCGGCTATGGTGCAGGTCACGTAAACAAACATAGTACAAAAACATGTTGACGTTGTTAACGGCTGGCCAAAACAACTTAGAATGACATACAATTGCCATTATGTGGAATTACAAACCAAACTATAAACCACTCAAATTTTCGACCGGGAGATTTAAAAGTTTAACTAAGTTGTAAAACGGTTTCACAAATACAGAATTTTTCAACTGGTTTAAAAATATATTTGTAGGATTTGATTCAAAAGATTTCTTGAGATACAGGGGAAGGAAGTTAAAAAGTTGTCTGGCTGAGTACTTTATCACATTAGGATTTTTTTCTTCTTCTACGAACGACTAGGGCACAACCCTGTTTGTCAGGCCACTTAGTATCGAGCACATTAACTCAAATAAATATTATAAAATCTAAAAATAGTTAAATTAAAGGACTTGTCAAATCAATTGAAACATCAATAGGATATTCAATCATCCTCGGGAGAAGTATCCTTATCTTCCTCTTTTTGAGTTTATCTTTTAGGCGATCGTCCACGTAATCTTTTCCCTAAGGGTTGTCTGGTCATACAAATTTTTGCTAGATTCTCTTCAGTTTTAGTCTAATACACATATCGGACATCTGCTATGGGACATCTTAATATGCCTAATATTATTATTTTGCTTGGGCAGCAAATCAGATTGATTCAATGAGTTGTACTTATTTTAATCCCTCTATGCAGCATACCTGAAATCTAACTCAAAAATGGAAAAATGAGACTCAAACACTTTGAAAAATATGTGTGAAGGGAGGCGAAAATTCTTAACTTTTTTGTGACAGGGAAAAACCGAGAGGGAATGAAAAATTATTATTGAATCAAGATTATAGGCGATCACTTTCTGATTACTACTTCCGAATTAAACAGAAAATAATGTTCCAATATGTGATTTGCACTTCTTATAATTCTAAACATTTTGATGCGGTGAGTCTCTACAACAGCAAACAGGAATAAAAAAATAGTGAATGAAAGGGACATAAAGGATGATGTTATCTGGAAAATTTAAGAACTGTGCAAATCACTTTTACTTACCCATCATACGCTCCGCTGACTATTCTTTTCCCATCAAATCTGATGCACCTCACTAACTCTTCATGTCCTTCCAGAACTCGCAAACAAGCACCACATTCTATATCCCATAGCCTAGAACGAGAATGAAAAATTGCAATTGAAGAAAAATTCGAAGGAATACATAACTACATTAATCTTAAGGTATAATAAAATAATCAAGAGGATAATAAACTTTTTTTTTTATTATTTATTTTACCTTTGTTTTTCCCCCGATCCTGTTGGTTGTAGATTTTAGTTGGCGATAGCTATTTCAATCATCAGATCATCCTTAGCCAACTAACCCCAACTAAAATCTACATCCAACGTGATCGGGGGAAAAATAAAGGTAAAATAAAAAAAACTACAACTACTGTTTTTGTGTTTTTGGGTGACCTAACCCTTCTATTGAAGGATGCCGGGTAGACTTTGCGATACATTTTGGGTTAACACTCTAATATATTTAATTTAAAAAAGCGGTTTATAGGTCATTATTACGCCCAACGGTCATTTTGGTGGCAATATGAAGTATAAATCATTTTAATCACGCATGATTAACGCAAAATGAAAGAATATCGATAGTGAGTAAAGAAAGGGGTAACTAGCACCTTATAGGCCCGTTTATAGGTCGTTCTTGCACCCATCGATCCAGAGGCCTGACTTAACTCGGAAAAAAAAGGTTTTACGACCTTGAGCCGTTACCTATCAATATTCTATCGCTACCACAGCATAGTCTAGGGTACATAGAATCTGAAAAGCAGATGGGCGTAATAACGACCTATACGCCTATAGGCTGTTCTTGGTGCGGTGTCCTCAATTGGTGTGCATCTTGGAATGATAATAACCAAAACATAAGAGTTTACTCATGAAGAATAGTGTGAACGCAGAATGCACTAAACCCAGTGACAGAACAGAACTCTCTTTTTTAACAGAGCTATTTGACAGAAAGGAACCAAGTGACATCAAGATCAAACCAATAAAAATAGGTTTGAAGTTTTATTCCTTCAAAAGACTAAATATTGGAGACAAAATTCAATGCCTATTTTCACATTTAGAAGAATCTTTCTTAATTTTTAATTTTAGACTGTAGAAAATAGTCTGGCTGACCTCAAAACTAATCCTGACTTCTCCAGTGGTTCTGTGTTGTTGCACAACTTTTTCGGTTTTTGAAATTTAAATGATTTCACTGTTCAAATTCATTATTTTAAGTTTTTCATTTCCTAGTATTGTGGGATGAGAAAATAAAGTTTGAGATAAAACTCAATTCCTTTCTGTTAAATCCAATTAAATTATGCTTGTCACTAAGAACTGCACATGATTGCATTTTCGTCATTTTCATTTGATTTGGAGAAACATTTTGAATGAAATTTAACTTGCTGAAACACAATACACCTGGATCAACAACTGATCAACACTGGCTACTCTTTAGATGAGACAAGAGTAAAGAAAGATGGATAAGAACTGGAGCAAAATTGAGACACTTACCGAATTGTATTATCTGAGCTACCACTAACAACTAATCGGTCTCGATATTGCAAACAGGCAATACCACGTTTATGTCCATTCAAAGTTCGAACAAATTCACAAGACGATGTGTTCCAAACTTTAATGGTGCGATCTCCAGAGGCTGATACAATGTACTTTTCATCAAAATCAACAACGTTCACAGCAGCTCTATGGCCTACTAAAACTCGGCGTAGCGTTATTTCCGTTTGCGATGTCATGTCCCAAACAGCTATTGAGCGGTCCTGCAGAAAAAAATCTACTTGTAACAACAGTGTTCAGAAATTGAAAATGGGGCTTCATAATAAAGCCAGGTTTATCACTTTATGAAGGATAGAAGATTCTCCTCTGACCTAGGCAAGGAAACGATGCTCTTCAATTTTTTTTAAAAAAAAGGCTGAAGGATTGAAAGATACGAATTAGCAGTAATACAAAATTGACATTTTGGAGGATAGAAGATTCTCCTTTGACCTAGGCAAGGAAACAATGCTTTTCAATTTTTTTAAAAAAAAAAGGCTGAAGGATTGAAAGATACGAGTATTAGCAGTGATACAAAATTAACATTTCAACATTTCAGACATTTCTACGGATTTTGCAAAATTTAAAGAAATCCTGTAGCAAAATCTGGAGCCATGGGTTGAGAAATTACTTTTCATAAGCCTATGCTCTTAAGGAAACTGTCAAATAATTACCCAGTACATCCTAGAATAAATTCTGAATGCTAGAATAATGCTGTTTTGAGCAAGATGAAAGCAAAGTAAATGGTTTTGCTGCTTGATTAAGTATATTTTGCTGGCACAGGCATATTATGTTCTAATGAAAGAGTGATTACTTGGACATTTTTTGGTCCTAGAGGCAAAGAACTCAGCTGGAGCCTGTACCCTAGGACCGTGTACCCTGTACCCTAGTTCCAGCACTCCAAATTCAGCATACAACATCCTTTGTAACATTAATTGGCTCTTAAAGGATACCTTTAAAAAAAAACCTATCAATAAAAACCTTGCAGCTCAGGAACTACATAGAAAGAGCTTATTGAGACCATAAAGGAACAAACATGAGAATACCTGATACTTAGAGGAAGGGAAGAAGTGATTAGACTCACCTTTGAACACGTAACCATCATTCCATTACTGAACCGCAAATGTAGAACTGCTTCACAGTGATGAATTAGCGTGTTGACCATTGCACCTGTTTTGACATCCCAAACTCGAACCGTACTATCACTTGAACCACTAATTATCACTTTATCGTCATATTGCAGACACAAAACTGAACCTGTATGTCCCGTCAACACCTGATATGGATAAAAATAAGATTGTAAGTTAATGAACAGAATAATGAACTGACGTTTCGTAATAAAAAAATTTTAGCAAAGTAAAAAAATAAAACTAAGTAATAGCTTCAGAAAATTTCATAAAAAAAAACCGATTTCTTTAATCCATGATGTTTTGAGCGTCTAGAAAAAATCATCTAGATATCATAAATACATTGCCCTGAAGGTTGCAACTCCAACAGTCAATAGTAGTGTACACTGACGGCAGAGTTGACATAAAGTTCTAAATCAAACAATGCAGATTATTTGGGTTCAGTTTGCTGGCAGTTCGGTGTTAATTTATATTAAGCTCTTCTTTTCTTGAATAAATTATTACTAAGTATTGCGATTACTACCGCCTCTACAGTCTTGAAAAAAATTAGCCCTACATTAGTATTCAAAGTTTTATCGCATAATCAGCAAATTTCGGGGAGCACCTGTAGAAGGAAAGAGCAACTATAAAAATCACAAGAATACTCTGTAGAAGGTCCGAAGGCTCTGAACAAGACTAGTGATGCATTAGATATGATTCAGCATAACTTTGCCCAACCTAGCAAATGCTTTTCATCCAAATATGCATAAGTCTAATGAGCATTATAATATCAATCGTATCGATAGGTAAATTACTCCAGGGGGCTCCATGGCACACAATCTGAGTTGTTTACCGGACAGCAGCAAGGCACTTTATCAACAGAGAACTGTTTCTAAATAACTTTTCAACAGTCATGTAGCCTGCTTGGCGGGCTATTTGTCCCTGTTTGGGTTGAGTTTAAGGTTGCAGATCAGATTTAAGTATTGTTGGAAAAAAAAATTGTTGCGGGGCCATTGGATAATTTAAACATGCCATGGATTTTATTCAATAGCCATTTGATGTATCATTTGGTTCAAAACAATAAAACGTAACCTCAAACAAAAATTTTAGGATTTGAGTTGGAAAATTTAAAATGAGAAAATTCCGAACAATTTCACTTTTCATTACCATTTTGTACCCATTAGAGCAAGAAATCTATCACAGAAAACCCATTCCCTAAGATTACTAAATTGACTTTTGAGGCTATGTTTACATGTTGAACCAATGGATATTGATACAATCTCACCTGCGTGATTCATCGAATACGATCCATACCACATGGTTTGCAAAGACAAACAACGTTCAATCATAATAAGAATAGCGAGAGCTCACCTGTATACATTGCAATGAATTCCTATCCCATATTTTTATGGTATTATCTCTGAGCCCAGAAACTATTTTATTGTCATCATATTGCAAACAGTAGACACCTTTTGAATTTTCAGAGCGGCAATTGATCCTTTGCAGTAAGAATCGGCCCATACGCCAATTGTTTTCTATACTCTGCAAAAAAACACAAATGAGTTATATCTTTGGCCTCGGAGAGGGAGTGTGTTAAAACAGAAAAACTATAATTAAAATGTTTTGAAAATGATCTTTTTACGCTTCAGTGGTCTGACTACAGCATCATGACAAACTGATACTTTTCTTTGCCGAATTCAAAACTGTCATTAGGATCATGCAAACCACACAATTAAGGACTTCTTTTGTATAAAAAAGTAGAGACCTTTCATAAATTATGTGACGCTCTAAAGGGGGGGGGGTTCATAGATAGCATTTTGCCATTGTGTTTTCATATGTTAAAGAATAAGGACCTACATCACAGAGGCGTTACAAGAGGAGGTTCAAAAATACCAAAAAAGTGCATTACACAATTTATGAACGCTCCTGTATGAGGCTTTCAAAGATGCCAAGATTGTGCAATGTAATTCATCAATTACAAGTAATCTATCGAAGAGCTCTGTCATGAATTTATCCATGAATCTGCTTTGAACTTATCCTCACTATTGTGTGGAAGTAATTCGACTGAGAATGAATTTTGCTGCAAATGCTAAAGAAAATCGCACAATCTAAGCACAATTTCAAGCTCCATACATCCTTTTACTAAAGAAATCCTCAACTGCATGACATTGAGTTAAAGAGGCAAAATGACCACGTTTTATTAACTTTTGATTTTTAGAATAGGTGTCCCGAGTTGAAGAGGGAAAATGACCACGCTTTAGTAACTTTTGATTTTCAGAAGAGGTGTCCCGATAGTGCTAGAATAATAAGGTTAGTCTTGAGGAATTAGATGTGTTAGGGATTTGCATCTCTAGTTAGGAAGAATTTTTTCATTTTTAATTAAAGGATGAAACAATGATTTATGCGATCATGGCTCATGACAACTTAATAAGGCCGAACTTACGGACTTAAACGGCTTTTTCTGAGAATTGAAATCAAGGACGTTTGAGAACCCTTCTGCGGACATCATTAGAATGGATTTAGCAGTTTTTCTTCCGACGTCCTCACTTATTCCTAATAAATGATGTAGTGAAAAAAAGTACTTACTTCAATATCTTGGATAATTTTAGGGAATAAAGCTCTATATGAAATGTGGTCTGGATGGGCTTCACCCGGCTTTGGCTTGAACAGAAACTGAATCCATCCTCTCCTTTCCGCTAGACCTCTCCAAAGTGAATCCGTTCTAACCTTCCTCTCTATTAGTTTTTTCCATAGCATTCCTTCTGAAATTACTCTATACCATTCTTTACAAACTAATTCGGCTGCGTAGAGAGAATCAGCGTCTAAATATGATAGAATAGTTTCTGCTACATGATCTAAACCTTTCTCTGGAAAAATTACAAGAAAAAAAAACTTGTGATTAATTTCACTATAAACATGTAGATAGCTACAAAAACTATTGCAATTTTGGAATTTGCTTATGAAATTCTGATAGACACAATTTTTAAGGCCAAGGACCAAAAAAAAAACCGAGATGGCAGGCTGTCAATACAAAAACAGGGAAAAAGAAGGCAGTAAGTTGTAATTTTTTAGCTAACGTGCGTTAAAAATCCAAAAAACCTGGAAATCTTAATACATAGGTTTTCACGACCTCTCCGAGCTTGGTAGCAGAAAATTTAGGAGGCTGCGCTGCACCGAGGATGGGTCCAATTAGGCCTGAAACGCGTCTGCAGTTGCCTTCCTGAATGATAGTCGTAACTAGTGTTGCACCAAACAGCGTATCTCCTTAGGGGAAAATTGTACTCATATGAGCTTTTTCCCTCTGTATTGAGATTTTCAGTTTTCTGGATATTTAACGCATGTTGGCTAAAAAATTATAACTTACTGTCTTACGACTAGTGCGTCTACCGCAATCAGTTTGGGGAAAAGAAAGCCTCAACCTCACCTTCAAAAAACCAAGTTTATCTCCTATTGGCTTAAAAAAGTTTGAGCATTTTCTTCAGAGTCTTGCTACAATAATTGGAGGGAAAAAATTGCCAGTGGCCATGAACAAGGATGTTGACTCATTGGTCCTTGGAAGAAATGGATCGAAGTGAGTGACATGATCGGCTGGAAAGGCTTTGTCAAGAGTTTTACAACCAATATTTAAGACTTATTTATAGTTTTTGAATTGAAAAAGAATAAGGAAGAGTTTCTGATACTGACTTATTTTCGTCAAGCACAACAATAGATTCGAAGATTCAAATTTTCAGACATTTTTTTAAAAAAAATGTAGTAAAAAACCATTTCAAACGTCTTTCAAGTAAACACAATATGCACTTGTAATTGACAGAAAAGGACTGAAGATAAGCTTGGTAAAAAAAAAGTTTGGGAGGAATGTGTACGTGTCATTCCATGCCAGCTGGTGCCACTTTTAAAAGTTAAGCCCAATTTTGTTGTACATGTCTGGAAAGCTCTTTCTAAGGGCTATCCAACGGTACCAGAACGGTTGATTTTGGATGAACCGTTCCGGAGTTACACAACACTGAAGTGGTGACATCCCTCAAAAGAGGCGAACTTTTGCGAACTATCGGTGTCTCATAAAAGCCCAACGGGTGATCGTATCAACTTAAAATTTTGGATTTTTACTAAAGCTATGCATGGTCAATAAGTGTGCCAAATTTCATAAAATTCTGAGGGGGTCACTTTTAAAAGTGGCACCAGCTGACATGGAATGACCCGTACAGCATATCGACGGTGAAACTACCAAACCACGTATCTCGTTTGCGGTGTTTAAAAATCTACGCTCGCATTTTATTTTTTTGAAGTCGACCAAATCAATATCATTCCTTGAAATTTTCACAGAATTTTCTCCGCACAAAGAGGAAAAATCACAAAAATTTTCAAGACTAGACGTTAAGTAGTTTTTCATTTAAAAAATAAAGTATGACAGGAAGTCTGCGACGTCGCAAACCGAGATACGTGGTTTGGTAGTTTCACCGTCGATATTCTACTTCCAACATCCTTATACAGCAAATTATAAGAGACAAAATTTCATTGAGAGGCAGATGAAAATTAATTGTCTGATTTAACCATACGTTTCTGGGGCACTAATTGGACGGCGTTAAACAGAAAGGAACCAAGCCACATCAGCTATTGCCAAATTTAACAGAGAAATGTTATTTTTTACGTGAGAACGTTCGTGCAGATTCCTTAGAAAATTTTAAGGAATTTGCTTTGTATTATGGAGGAAATTCACTGAAATTTGCACAAAATTCCGCACAACCGTTTTCATGTAAAAAATTAAATCGCCCGATCAAATTTGGCAATCACTCATGTGGCTTGGTTCCTTTCTGTTTAACGCGGTCCAATTAAGAATGGTAAGATAAGTTTGGACCTACCAGATGACCTCTGGATCGATAGGCAAGGATGGCGATTAGGTGTCGCAGAGCGCCCGAGCGCGCTGTAAAGCGACTGGAATGTATGTATGTAAGATAAGTTTGGAAAATGCCTCATTATAGTAAGGGTAAAATCTATTCTAAAAGGTTTCTAAGTGTGATTCATTCTGTATATGAAAAGAAAAGGACTGATAAACGCAATTGTGTCTAAACCATTATTGTTCATAGGAGAAATTGAGCTTGAATGAAGTACTTACTTGGCAGAAGAGATATAAAATCGCGTTGTAACATTGGTTTAAGGTACGTGTTTATATGTCCATGCTGGTAGTGACACATGCGTGATAGTAAGTGCTCAACGAACTCTATCTGATCCTGTTCGCTCCATTTTTCGAAGTATTTCAGGCAGGTTTCGCGTTCTGATGCAAACTGGGGCGCAGGCTCCTTGAGCCGCCCGGAATCAAATATAATAGTCATGGGATTAAACTGTAACAAAAAAACAAAGAGACAAATTCGTTAAACTTGGTTTGATAAAATGTGACAATGAGCGAACATAATATTAGCACAGGGTGTATACTAAAACAGGCTGGCCAAAAATCAGTACTTTTACAGTACTTTTTCAGTATATTCCTAAGAAATTCAGTACCTCCTTCACGGGAAAATTCAGTACTTTTTCAGTACAGCAATTTGACGAAATTCGAAAAAGTTAAAAAAATTGAATTTTTCGCTAAACTTGCGACATTAATGGCGAAAAATGAAAAAATTCCGGACCTTCTTGCAGAATTCCGTACTTCCGGGCCGCCCTTAAAAAATCAGTACTACTTCCGAACTTCCCGGAAATTCCGGACTTGTAGACACTCTGTTGTATCGCCAAAAGTTTGGTAGATTTTGAATTCTTTTCAATTTTCTAATTTCCTCGGTTTTTAAAATTTTGAGAGACTTGGGGTGTTATAGATTTCATGAAAAATTATATTTTTTCGAAAGAGGAATGATTAATTTTGTTCCGAATTCAGTGCGATTTATCAGAATTGTTTTACAGAAAGTTCGCACTTCTAAGTCAATTATTTTTTAAAAGGAAAAAAAATGGAAGACCCGGTAAAAATGTAGCGATTTCAATGACCAGAAACGTTGCCTTCATTTGAACAATTAAAGCATTTATCGGAGATGTAACAATCTCGCGATAAAAATCGGTAACAGTTTACTTTGTCGGCACAATAGATGACACTGGGATTAACTTACTAAGACGTATTTAAGGGAAACAAGAAAATTTCAGTAAGTATCACGGCACGAATTTGATGTAATGATAGAGCGCCTTCAATTCTCCGTTTATACGACAAGGACAAGTCTCAGGCACGAATAGTTCATGCTCAGCACATCGCAGTATTAAAGCTGAAGCACAAAATGTACTTAGATCCTGTACGCGTGTGCAACTTTTCGTGTCGAATAGATGTCTTTGTATTGTATTGAAGAATCAAAGGCACTCCCTCATTTTGGATCCTCGCAGTACAAGCACGACCAACCGCGCGCCGCGCCGCGTTATACGTGAAGCAGTAGGCGCCTGGAGAATCAAAGCGCCTTCACTTTCGTGAGTATGCAACACGGACATCCGTGAAGCCCGAATAGTTGTATTCGGGCGTTATATTCGTTTAGCGTTCGTGCGATGCTGACTGAAATGGCGTATCTTGTTTCTCTTGCACCTTAAATTAATCCCAGTGTCTTCTATTGTGCTAACGAAGTAGACTTTCACTGGTTTGTATCGCGACATCGCAATTTTGCACTAAAAAACTATTTGATTGTTAAATGTGTTTTAACTTTGCCCTCCTAAAATGAGGGGCTGCGACCTCTAAATTTACTAACCAAGAACGGCGAGTGCGGCAGGGTCGTTTCATCGACATTTCACAAAAAAGATTTCGAGCGCGCGTCTCAATATATTAGTTTTTGCGAGAGAGTTGAAAAAAGTCCAGTCAGAAATGAACATCAACCCGCGTTTTGCGCAGAACCTTGAAGCGCTAGAAAGCATGATTTTCGGGTGCATTTGCAGGAGCACGACGTCGGCTAAAGATAGAAAACAGCGCGCAGCTGATCCGCTGCAATTTGTATTGCAATGGCAACAACGATTTGATGTTAAAAAGATGCGGCGAATCGATCAATGATATAATCCGCGTGTGGCCATTCAGTCTCCTAAAAAAATATCATAAGTGCCATATCAGCATAACGCATGATATCTTGCTGGTAATATGCTGATTTTCAAAGCCAGCATGTTGTCATATACGGAGATCATATTGAGCCAGCATGATATCATACTGATACAGCATGATACAAATATGATACTGATCGACTTCATGTGCTACTTTTATCTTGAACTGACGATTTTGCTTTTTACGTATTGTTATTCACCTCATTGGCCTGCACATCGTCCATGGTCAGTATGCACTGGAAAAAAAAAACACACATTGGATCTAGAACCCAGACTCGTAAAACATCGACACGAGAAAATACTCTTGATTCAATCAGATTTAAGCTTAAATCAAGAACCAAGCCTCTAAATTTGAGCGGATTTCCTTTTGATTTAAGCTTAAATCTGATCGAATCAGGAGTCCTTTTTCTTGTCAATGTTTTCAAGAGTCTGGACTCTAGATCCAATGTGTTTTTTTTTTCCAGTGTGACCGAGCTGAAATAGGACGCTTTTGCTGGACACGTTGATTTTAGCTCTCATGAAAAATTCGCGTTTAGCGACTGGGAATTTCTATGGACGACACCAAAAGGACGGGAAACCAGGTGAAAAAGGTGTCTGAGTTGCGATGCAATGGCGTCGCGTTGAATGGTGCATCGCGTGCCACATCTGCGAAACCATTGTTTTCAGCGACGACAATTCCTCGTCACGCTGCGGTGATAAAATGAAAAACAACAGACCTCAACCGAGAAAAGAAATCCGCCTTCGAACGCGAGTCAATTAAGAAGAAAAATCAGACGCGCCGGAAAAGGGGCCATGCATGCGCGCCTGTACCGCCCTATATTCGCGAGAGGAATAAAAAATGGGGGGGGGGGGAAATATGTGAATCAAGAAAACAAAAGTGCGAACTGGGAAAATTGAAGGCGAGCGAGCCCTAAACCGCATCACGTTCGTTGAGTTTTTGGGCAACGTCGAACGAAAAACACTAACACAACGAACGGAACCAAGTTTAAAAAGAGCAACGATTCGTGGTTCGCCTCAGGGTTGCCACCGAATGTAGAAAATGAAATTCCCCGACAATCTCTTAAGATTCGTAGGGAATTTGTAAGTAATGTAGAGCATTAGACTGCCGTGCTAAGGAAAATCGCCGTATGAACCTTCAGGCGTTGCCACATTTCCTTTGATAAAACGCAAATTTCCTGGTAAACTCGTGAATATTTTCCTCGCAAATTTTCAGATAATTTTATTCGCAATCTCACCTAAGGATTCTGGAAATTCAAAGGAAAAATATTCGTAACTTCCCTCAAAAATAAACATTTTATCGAAGGAAATTTGACAACTCTCGAATGTTCATGCTGTGTTTTTCCTGCGCACGGCAGTAGAGATCGTACTCTTCATGTTCCGATTCATCTCTCCGTAGAGAAATTCTGGAGGGGGCGGTCAGTTAGGATTTTGTTCTTATTCGGTGCGTCATTTGATGACATCGCACGGTGGACAAAATTTAAGAACTTAAGGAAAACTTTACTACAGGAAAATGAACCGAAATTTCAGCCTGAGGGACCAAATATGACTTACTACCCAATAACCAGCATTCATGCCGTAACCTTGTCACTACTTCCGCCTCGATAGGTAGAAGGAACACGGTTTGGATAATTTCTCCTCGGTACCTCGGTTGTCAGTTTGGGTGACGTCAAATGGACCACATTTTGCAATTCGGATCCATAATTTCTGGCTCACCTGTAAAAACACTTACATGCATAGGGAAACTATAATGGTACATACGTTGTTTCTCAACTGAGCCAGAAATTATAGTTTCAAATTGCAAAATGCAGTCCAAATGATGCAGATCCCAAGTAACCCTTAGCTTGTGTCGAATGACCTATTGGTGGATAAATTTCGATGTTATATCTGAGGATGTTATTTGTTCGCTTCAAACTGAGTCAATCGATAAGATGTCGATCGAGTCTTCACGATCGACCTGCTTTGCTGTGTTACCAGAGAGAACAGTCATAATTTTGAGTAAATTTGGAGAGAGAGGTTTGGGGTACTTGATCGAGTGGAAAATTTTAATAAAATACCGTTAAATTTGTAAAAAATGTTCAGTTGAACATCTAAAAGACTCTTAAAGATTCTTTGGATGGACGAATTTTACTTACAGCTTAGAAATAGGGACTCATTTCGTTCATGTTGGGGCCAGGGCCGGATTTAGGAGGTGGCCACACGGGCCGCGGCCCAAGGCGGCAAATTTTGAAATTTTTTTAAATGTAGGTATAAAAAAATCGGATCCAGAAAACAAATTATCAATGAGAAAAGGGGACGAAATCTCTCTTTCCTGAGAGTATAGTAATTTCTAATTATGTCGTTTTTCGGTGATACAAGAAATATCATCTTTAATTAGTAGAGTGAAGAGAGGAACTAAACACGCAATTTGGCCTGGAGCTTAGCGCAGAGAGGAATCATGACGAGGACTTGAGATGAAAAAGACAAGCCCTCGGCGCGGCGATCGGCATGTAACACATATTAGCGCCTACAAGACTGCGTGAATACTTCACCCATTGCGTCAAACACAGTGCGGTCAGGAGCAGTTGGCGTGAAACGTATAGCGCCTACAAGACTGCAGGAATACTTCACGCATTGTGTTATAATCACAGTGCGATCAGCGCGGCGCAGCGGCGGAAGTTAAAATTATATTAAACCACATTTATGTTTGTTCTTACATAATTTTTTGGTTCATTTCTTGGCTCTCTTGCGGGATTATGCCGTTTTTGTGTGGGGACAGACATTAATTTTTGCGCCTGTACTGCACTTCCAAACATTTAACTTTGTTTACAAATAAAAAAATGTTTCAGTTATGTAATTAAATTTTTTAAAATTGTAAAAAGTAGCATTTCACCCACGACTCAAAAAGTGCGTAAGGCCTGGAGTCCATTACGAGCATCAGAGGAGCGACGATTACTTTCATCTCCGTGTCCCGAAATGAAACCAACCCTCGCTGCGACTGCTCACTGGAAAACATTTTCTTGAAAGATTCCTCTGACTTTTCAAGCGTCCATTCTTGTCGACAAAATTTGGTTATTTTTCCGCACGGATTTGACTTAAAGTCAGTTTTTTTGAGTAAGGAACGTTGTTTGGCTATCTCTTTTTAAACTTAAACTTACCGCTGGCGAAACGACGCTTTGTTAACTCATAAAAACTGACTTTAAGTTGAATCTGCACGGATTTAACTCACAAAAACCACGTTTTGTCGACAAGCAGGGTGTTTACTCAAACAAAAGGGCCAAAAATCAGTGCTCTTACAGTACTTTTCCAATAC